ACACACACACACACACACACACACACACACACACACACACACACACAGAGAAAGCATGTGAGGGGGAGGGGGAGGGGGAGAGAAACAGGACAAAAAGTGAGCATGAACACACACAGAGGAGGATTGGAAACATCACAACAGAGTGTCAATGTCGACCTTGCGAATGCATTATGCCCTCTGTATTATCTGAAACTGTAAAAGAAGAAACCCTGACTCGGATTCCTTGCACTAGTTTCTGACAGTAGAAAAAAAGAATCTTTGGGAGAGGAGGCCCTGCCAGTGTGCTCAGACATCGTCAAGAAAAGAAAGACAGTCTCCTCGCATTAACAACTCTTTCTGACAGGCTGCAGGGGAGCGGAGCCGGGGCGCCGTCGCCCACACCGCCGCTCGTCAAGGCTCCCTCTCGCTGAAAAGGAGGCGTAAGCGCAGCCTGCCCATGATCCCTCTCTGATCCTCCTACACACTCATTACGGGGACGCACACACGAGAGCAGAAGAAGAGAGACAAAGCGAGGATCACGAACAGTTTTGCTCCTCAGGGGACCTCACCGTGCTCACTTATCAGTGGCGTCTTACAAGGATGTATTTTGTACAGATTTGTTTCATTTTCCTCTTGTTCCCTGCAGGACAGTTTGCAGATAATTCCGTTCAGGGACATTTCGGGTTCTCTCTGTCCTCACAAAGAGATAATTCGTAGCAGATAAGAATAATTTTTTGTGAGCGCGTTGATTGAATTGCATCAGCTGTGTTCTTATGTGTATTAATCATCTACAATGAAAGAGACCTGCCCTGCAGTCTTAGCAGAACTCAAGCATGGTGTGATTACATAATGCAAATAGATTATAGTAAAGTCTCATCTAAAGTAATGGCTGGTTTGTTCTTGATAACTCCTCGCCCAGTGGCTCCCAACATTGGGGTAGGACACACCCAAGTGTCGCTTCTTTAATCTTATAGGGGCCATGAATCAGTGGTAAATGTTACCACTTCAGACCAAGAGTTGCAAAGTGGGAGAAGCTAGTTCTATGTTTTTCAGTATACTTCATTCCTATAATAAACATTTCTATAAATAATACCCTCATTGTAACTTAACATAAAAACAAAGCTCTACAGGACAATGTAACAACCAGATAGGATTGTGTTAAGGCCATGTAATCATCTCAACTTTGTCTCTGAGAAATCGTGTTTTGTCCGTCAGTTTGGCATTTGTTAGCTTCCAGTCACTGTTGGCGGCACATGTAACATCATTTTAAGCTCAAAGATTGGATGTTTCTTGCCGAAATGCACCCTGGGAGTGCTAGTTAACTTATTCCTTTACGCTTTTATTTACACAGACTGAGACAGATATTTTCTAAAGCAATTGTTGCTCTTTTGTACTGTAACTCAACCAGGAGAGTTTCATTGAAACATTGTTAATGGATACATGAATGGGACTTTTACATATGAAAAACAGGAATGGCCAATCTATTCAAATAAAACAACCTGAGAAGGAATCAACATTGTCTCTACAAACACACACGTTCACCACTTTCTTGGACTAAGGTAACCCAAAAACACACCAGCATCTGATCCTCAATTAACTGGGCGGACAAACAGGGTGTCAGTGCATTCCCTCCATCACTCTCCCACTGATGCACATTAACTGGCCACGCTGCATTAGACCAGTCAAAACACACCACTAGCACTTAGAAAGAGCCACAGACACTAGTGGTACAGAGGGTAATGCGAGCCATGCCTTGCATTACCCTCCCAAATGCGGATAACTCCCTGAAATCGTACATTTCAGAGAGTTATCTGCCGCTGGTTGTATCACAAACATTTTAAAACAGATTTGGACGATCCCTCTGTAACACACACACTCATCTGATCCTGCTCTGATCTTACGTTTTGGCATCATGCAGACAAAAGCAATGTTTTGGATACGAGGCAGAGCTGGAGAAAGAAAAAAATAGCCTCAGGCGGAAAAACAAACATTGTAAACCCCTTCGCCCTGCAGTTTGATGTTGGCTGTGGATGTTTCAGTGGCTATTATCGCTTGTGAAGAGCCTGAGATGAATGCTGGAAGAAAAAATCAGCAACTAAATCTAGTAAAGTGGACAGCATGGTTACAGCCCAGAAGAACATGGAGGTTTTGTACAACAAGACTGCTCCAAAAGAGATCTGTCCCATCCAGCAAGCCAACCCCCAGCTGGTGCAAGGTTCCAGTCCAACTCAATTATTGATGGCTCTCAATGACTGCGAGCTCAACACACACTGAGCCCTAAACAGCTTTCCTCTGCAGGTGCATCGTTGCCAAGAGACAAGACGGACAAACAAATGAGACGCAGCCATGGTCACCAACACGCTGAGAAGTACATAACAAGGGGTTCATACATAATCAAGAGCATGTAATATGAGAAGCTCCAGGAAACAAAGGACGAACTTCTGTATGTAGCTTTATGCAAAACGATGCAAATTTAAAGGAAGTGGTGCGCTGGTGTTCATAAAACAACGTGGCACAATCTTTTTTAATAAGGTTTCACAGGAACACAAAGGAGCAAAGATGGCACCGAAATTGACAGAGGAATACTCAGCATGCGCCTTTATTTTTTCGCATTTTTTGGCACGCCAAGAGAGGATCCTTGGAGACAAAGTGAATGAAACAGAAACTTCATATCCTCAGTAAAGAGGACAGGCCGCCAACCATCTGTTAGCTTCATCGCAAGACCTGCTCTGTTGAGAAGAAGACGGCCATCCCAGACACCACATCTTTTGTTTGACCAACATGCTGAACCTACACATAACAAAATCCAATATGATTATGTTCTATTATAATTTAACTTGTGTATATGTATACAATCGTTTTGCCAAACCTTTTGTGAAGTGAGGAGCTTTAAGGTGAGATGTCTTAGAGTCTAAACAGTCTTAGTGCTAAGCTAAATCCGCACGGTAGATTTTGCTAGCTTTGGACAGTCAGGCTAGCTGTTTCCCCCTGTCCAGTCATTATGCTAAGCTAAGCTAACAGGCTGCTGCTAGTTGTAGCTCAATATTTTCCTTACAGACATGATAGTTGTACCCATATCTCTATCCAACTCTCTGCATAAAAGCGGAAAGGAGTATTACCCACGGCACAATCTGTATTCCAAAAAGTAGACGAGTGTTTCGCCACCAGCAAAAATTCTAAATGCAAGACTGGAACTTGATATTAATCGCAGAATGATTGCCAGATCGTTTAATACAGGGACTAACAATAGAAGCTATTAACGTGTGACAAAATAATCTCAACTCAAAGATCACTTTACAAGCTTTTTTGGGTCCTTTCAATCATATCTCATGGTCTTCATCAGTGAACATTATTTGTAACAAATATTGTTCCCAGGGTTAACAATGAACTTCCATGCTTACATTATTACTGTTTTTTACTATACAACAAAAAGTCAGTGTGCCAGTGTGTGTATACCTTTAAAGAAATCACAGGCTTTAAAGTTTTGTCGTACCTTAAAACTGCCATTTGTCTCAGAGACGAGGTTGATGTTTCTTTTGAGGTATCTGTCACTCTCACTGGTGCTGATCAGGAGAACAATGGACAGAGGATCAGATCAGAAAAGCACGTGTATTCATATACAGTAACAAAGTCTCAAGACATTCAGTATGTCGCGCTTGTTGTTTATTTACCCATTTTTAAGAACGTTGTAAACAGGTTGCTTCACTTGAGCTTCCTCCCCGTTGACTTCGCTTTGATTCCTCGGAGTGATCTCCTTCAAACAGAGTTAGCAGAGTTAGAAAACAGACACAAAACAAAGAGACAATTCAATGCCTCACAAAACACTGGTACTCACAGGCTTGTTGGCTACAGCTGGATGGTTGTCCTTTGCAACAAACTTCCCCGGTGACTTGAAGCTCGGCTGGGCGGCCTCGAGCGCCGTCACCCTGGAAACAGATGCAGGGCTGCTACCCAGGCTACTGCTCGCTGGGACAGATGCAGCCAACAACTTGGAGGATGTAGACAGGGGAACAGCGTAGGGATTCGGTGTCGGAGAGCTAGGAGAGGGAATCTCGGCCTTGACATCTTTTCTCGCATCAAGGCTTCTTGACCGCCGGTGCTCGTCAAACCTAAGCCTCTGCCTCGCTCCGGAGCGGCCTCTCGTCTGTGGGGCGCCGGCTGGCGTCCCGGTGTTGAACTTACTGATGAGCTTGTTGATGGGAGCCAGGGAGTTGGTGTCAATTTCTGGGATGGGTTCCACAATAGTTGATGCTGGAGGTTTTGGGAGAGACTCCGAAGGGGACTCTGTGCTTATCCCCCTCCCACTGCGTCTTCCCAAAGAGCCGGTGTAACCAGAGCTAGTTTGCTTGAACCCTCTGGGTCCCGTACCGTTGAATTTGACAGGCTTCAGGCCTGCTTCGTTATACCCCTCATTACTAGTCCTATCTCTGTTTCTCTCTGCTTCGCGGGCAGTTGCTTTGTGTTGGGGTTCAGCTTTTCTGCCAGCTCCACTCTCCTCATCCCCTTGTGTTCCTGCTTGACCGTCCCCTGGAGGTCTTTTATGGGGGCTCCCAAAAATCTCCCTGACCTCATCGTCTGCTGGGGAGCGTGCTGTATTTGCAGCAGGGCTAAAAGGGTTTGCTGATTCTGCTGGTCCTTTATTTGTTTTGGGGAGTATGTTGCTTGGTGAAGGTAGCTCTGAACTGGGGCTGGGGCTGTTCAGCTGAACTCCATAAGAGTCCCCCTTCTCGCCATCTTTCAGGACCACATAGGGCTGTCCGGAGATTCCCTGAACGTGCACTGCCACCCCGTACTTATTGGAAGGAGGGGTTGCGCTGTTGTTCCCTCTGGATTTCTCAGGATAACCTCCGCCTGTGTCGTGGAGGTCCTTGATGAAGCGGATCTGGACGCCGTAATCCACAAGAGGCTTCCTGTCAGTGGACAGAGTGTTCATGCTGACTTCCTGGTTTCTATGTAGGGAGCCCGGGCAGACAGGGAGGGGAAAACAGCAAAAATACAAATTAGGTGAATCAGTGGCTGAACATGAAATTCCCCCTTTTCTCTCTAATCAACAAAACAGACCTGCAGATGATTACATCCGCAGGCCCCTTTTCTCAGACGTGAATTAGTCCTTTTTGCTTTTGCAGTTTCCAGGCTTTGCAAAAAGTAAATACTTCCTCACTCAGAAGCCTCGTCTAACCTGAATGTGTCACTCCTTCTTCCCAGGTGGAGTTACAATGACTCGGCAATCATATCGGATTGCTGGTTAACCTTGACGAAACCGCCATCTTCTCTTGCTGCTCTACAGGTTTAATTCCTTCTAAACGAGAATGAATTGTATTCATCTCATGAGAAATAGGCCACTGGGGCACTAAGAAGCTCTTTGTACAGGTCGATACTTTATTCCAGGTGTGCTGGAAACAAAGAGTAGGAGTGTGACTGGGTGTCAGACAGTAATCAATACTGTATGTTGCCTCGAATTTACATATGCATCCTGACTGTGTTGATGTTTTCATCCAATCATTATTAATGAAAGAGGTTTTTATTTTATTTGTATATATGTGTGGCATTGTTTTTCTTGAAAAACAACTGAAACAATTGCATTAGATTATCAGCATAAATAAATAAATAATGTATAAATAAATACTAGTATAGCCTAAGCATGTCTCGTCCGCCATGTATGCTCTGAAAACGAGCTTGGTGACGAACACTATGAGAAGGTGAATACTCCTCCTATTGTCTGGGCTCTGCGGAGCATTAAACACTGGGGGGCTATGTCAGGAATGGGCCTCCCTCCTCTCTCTCTGTCTTTGCCAGAGTCTCCACAGTCACCAGACTTCAGAGTGGACTCACTCAGGCGTAGACTGTTTATTTTGAGCTGTGCAGGCACACACGCCGGCTCGAGTGTATGCACACACACATACTTGAAAGGGTGTGCACAGACATATGGATCTGCTGTGCATTCACCATCTGGTAGCAGGTAGTTGAAAGAAAGTACCAACTAATGTGGAATCCCGTTAAAACGTGTCCGTTATTGCTGCCACATGATCACATGAACACGTTATTTCCCCTGAACACGTTCATCTTTGTATTTAAGCGTCGCTAAATCTGATTTTGGCTTTGCAGAGCTCACCGTTGTACTTCAACCCCAGCCTGCTTCCGATGTCCACAACTACAGATGTGACTCTCACAGGAATTAAAATGTAACCAACTCTAACTGACCGCTGGTTATAGTGTAACACGAAGCACCTCAACTGGCATTGGGGTTGGATTGGTGAATGAAAGTCTGGCTTTGTCTTTCTGGGAAACATTCTTCGGATTCCAGACGTTCCCTTTGCACTCGGCATCGCGCGTGGTTTGCATTTGTATTAATAAGGACAGATTAAGAGGAAACGGAGAACTAGGGCATGTGCTAACTGTAAAGCCTACGCATGTGGAAAAGTGTCCACACAGGCAGTAAATAAAAAGTGAAGAGACTCATTAAAAGACGACAAACTAAAAACAGAGACTAAAAATACAACGCAAAACAAACTAATTCCCCCCGTCTAATATAACAACAACAACAAAAAGGTTTGCAAACTGTGCTGCACATATCAAAACAATAATCTGAGGGTTACTCCTCAGCTATGTTGGAAAATCTTAAAAAAGGGACAATGTGAACGTCTATTGTCACAGAGCTCAGCCCTCCGCTGCTGATCGCTGGTCACACAGCTCCCAGGTGTGTTCTTGGGCAAATACGGATTTCAAGGCTCAGTTGTTGTCACCAACCAGCAGCCGAGCACTGCTTGGTGACAACAGGTTCACCTCCTCTCCTGCTGTTTCTTGTCACAAGGAATGGCTGGGTCAACAGAGACAGGAATGTCACCGAACGGGCCTGTCTGCCATCACTCTTCCCTTTCTCCTCACCCAGCTCATTTTCCTCTGGCCCTGTTCACCTCCTCTGCCGTCTGATCTTCAACTTTCTCCCACAGAGTATATCGTGCCCTTCGCTACTTTCATACTAGGGCTGTTTGATTTGGTGGAAATCAATGTCAGCAGGCCTTTTTACGTGAGATCAGTCGATTTATCAATAAACAGAGAAATAATTTTGAAACAATTCGGACAATTTATGTAATTGTTTAAGTCATTCCTCAAGCGAAAAAAAACAAAACGTTCACTAGTTCCAGCCTGCAAAAGCTTTTCTCTGTTTTATTTCTATTTCAATTGATATCTTTCGGATTCTATGATTGTCAATACTTTGTGACATATGGATTAATCCATAGTGGAAATAATCATTAGTTGTAAACCATGAGGACTATGTATCTGTAGTCTGTAAAATAATCAGATTGATGTTCAATACAATTAATTATGTGATTGTGTATTACATCAGATATAACTATTCACACATGTAACAATAAACCTTAATTATAAAATCATGTTTGTTATAAAGTATATGTATTTGCTTTGGAAAAAATAATAATTAAGATGAAGCAGAATTTTGCAAAACAATCTCACTATGTGAACATATCCCCATACAATACCAATAAAAGTAATACATGAAAATACACAGCCTTATTTGAGACCAAAGACATGTAGTTTAAATGCCTGGCATTTGTTTTTGGGGCAAACAGAAAAGCCAACTATTACAGTTACCAGTATTGCAGGCAGTGCTTGAGGGGTAGGTGCAGGTTGTCTTGTGTAAAACAGCAACAACCTGGAAATACTTGTCTCTCATTAAAAGGTATGTTTAAGTAAACACCTCAAAGGGAGCTTGAAGTGTTCCCCCAGGCACACATTTTTAGGACAGGACTATTTCTGGAGCAATTTATTTTGAATTCAACTGAAAAGAATGAGACTTCCAACATCTGATGATATACTTTTTTACCAAAGGACATGACATCTAACGAATACAAAGCCTGCGTTGTATTTTCTAGGCACGCGTGAGATTAATCAAAACAGCTTGACTGACAATCTAAATAATATCACTTTTATATTCCTATCAATATGCACAACAAAGGCACTTCACTTAGGAGAAACCATGAGAGCAAAGTAAGCCCCTGAGCACCTTGTCTGCTCCTGGATTAATTGCGTCACACCCACCCATCCGGTCAGTCAGTATCGGGTGCGCGTCGAAACCACCGGGTTGTTTACTCGCGCCAGTGAGACCCACAAGCGGAGCGACGAGGGTAAACAAACCGACGCACCTGCCTCCCTCCCCGCGCATCCTATTTGAAGCCTTTACCTGCTATAATGACCTCTCGTGTCCTCTTTGCGCCGCGCAGTCAGATCCGATTACAGGCAGCGGAGACCAAACCTTTCACAAACCCGCCTGAGAGCGAACAACAAACCCGATGCTTGGGCATTATCGCGAGCAGGGAGGAGGGGGAGAGACGGTTCAATCCAATCACAAAGCCACAGGTGTCCGTCTCTGCTGGTCCAAATGTTATTAAACGCCCGCTCAGCAAAACGGGGGCTTACAGTATTGCACTTCCCCAGGACCTGATCCCACAAAAAGTAAGTGTTCAGTAAATAGTCGGCACCTGTATAATAATAATACTTATTCTAGCGCACCTGCAGAGATGATCCGAAGCCCGAAATGTTGCTCCCTCCTCAGTGAGCGCTCCTGTATCAGTCCTCACAGAGGCAGCGGCTCTGTGCAGCGCTGGTGGGATGAGAAGATGATACTCAATGGACTAAGGACACCGGGAAATGTTTCTCCCCCCCCCCCGCTGATACCAGTGCAACCTGTTGCCAGCACATCGGATAGTCATCGTCCCGCCTCAGGACCGACTTCATTGGTGGGCGGCTCCCCGAAGAGGCGGTGCCTGCTGTGGGCTCAGTTTCATCGCTACACACACACACACGCACACACACACACACACACACACACACACACACACACACACACACTCTCTCTCAGGTAAATACAGAGAGTGTGACCTGTCTCTACAGAGGTGTTACGGGAAAAGGATTTCTCAATCAATTTTTGAAAATGTGTGCATGGCAGCTTTGGGCTGTGATCATAGCCAATAGAAATGCAGTTCAGGAGACAAACGGATCGCTGCTGAGGCAAAACGAAATAACTATGGACAGCAACAATACTACTCCGTTCAGTTAACATGCTCATTGACTGTCTGTAGCTCCACTGGAGCCTATGGCCACTAAATTGCATATATGATAGAAATAGTGTATAATTGACCTGAATTAAAAAGAAATTTGGAGGGAAAAATCTTATTTATACTAATACTCCAAATAACCTATGATCAGCCATCTTCACTCATCTATATAAAAGGCTACTTACATACTTTGTACTGTATAATTTCAATTGATAGGGTATATTTCGTGTCTGTGTGAACTCAAACTTTTTGTAAAGACCCTCACACAAATTCATTTTAAATATTCAAATAACATCCCAATAATGTGTTGAGATTGTATTTGGTTGATTGAGGTTTTTCCAGCAACAACTTTTTAATTTGGTACAAATTACAAGCAAAAGAGAGACATGACAGAGAGTAGCTCCATTTATAAACAAAGTAAAATATAATGATAATAATGTATCTCTGGAAACATTACTATTCACTACTGTTGAATTGTTTGCTTCTTGACAGATTGTCTATTTTTGTATGTTTAGGCTGACTCAAATTCTCTACTTTATGCTATTTTATTGCAATGAATTTGAAGTGTACCAATTGACCGCTCTCTATTTTACCTATATAATTAGAGCCACTTTATTATTCTTTTCAGGAAACTTACAAGGACATTTTTAGGACATTAAGAATGTACAGACCCATACAATTAAGTTGCATCTACTTTTCTAAACTCACAGCAAACCTCTGATGATGTCCTAGGAAACAAATGTACGTAGATAGTTAATAAAATGAACTGTAGGTGTCACTCTGGGCATTTGTGACAAAGAAATTACGTTGTCACCTGTTTCATTGGGTTTTCCAACCCTCATTTTAATACAACAATTAGCAAACAAATAAAAAAATGTGAATAAAAACAGACATGGACAAGTACAAAAAAAAGTTCTGTCTTTACTTCAGAGCTCAGTACCTTTCCCTTCCCCACCTGGTGTGGGACTCACTGGTTCCACCAGGAGGCGCCAGAGCAGAGCAAGGGCACAGCACGGATACCAGTACAAAATGAACCGGAACAGCAGAGAGCAAGAAAAAGAAAGGCAACTTGGACATTGAATAAAGAAAGGTAAAGAGTTGACAGAGGGAAGAATAGTTATAAACACCGTATACCGTAACAGAAATGTGAAAAATGGGTATTGTTTGCTCTTAAGTTATTTGGTCTACTTCAAGGCCTCTTGCAGCGCAGAGGCCAGAATATAAACATAAACAGATCAGACAGTTACTGCATTGGTTCACATGCACCCCGCCCCCCCCGTCCCACTTTTTTTTTCTTTTTTTTTTTAAAAGGACTATGCACATCTGATGACATGATGTCACTACTTGCTTTGCCAACACCATCCAAAAGCACTGACTTCACAATTCATGTGTACTGCAGAGATAAAAAGAAATGGTTGACTCAAATGTACTGTATAAAAAAGCCAAAACATCATACTGTATACAACCAAGACACACAAGTTTAACTCATTATTTTTGTTCATTGGTCAACTCTGTAGCATGTTCACAACTGATGGAAGTTCCACACAATTGTTTTGTCCTAATATTTACAACTAGATGAAATCTCGGCCGGGGTCTCCTTTGGGTTAATCAGCACTGAGTACCAGACGACAGCTGTACGTGGTCAAAGTGTGTGTACGTGTGCATGTGGAGGAACGGAGTCCAATTTAAATTTAAAAGATACGTTCCCCCCCCCCCCCAAATACTTTTGTTTCACAAAATACTACTGATGTGGTTTTCGATTTTCCTTCCACTTGCTTGCAGTAAAAGGACGATGTGATAAGCTATTGATAAAATTAAGTATTCTGATGGCAAATAAAGCTGCGAATCAATTCATGAATGAAACAAAGTCCATTTTAGATTTTCAGGCACTCTTTCAATAATTTTTTTCTCCATTTTTTTAAAGATTGTATATATCATGTTTGTATTCATTTAAAGCCAAGAAAAATGGAGAATAACGCTGATGATTTGAGTCACTGCATCAATACACACTAGGGGAATATTTCAACATTACGTTCTCCGTCTAACGTGGGTTTGTGTGTTTGAAATGCCGTCACACTCCCGTGGTGCACGAGTCGATCACAGTCAGTCATCGCGGGAGCGTCGGTGCCAGTCAGTCACAAAGCCTGTGAGGTAGTGTGTTGGTGTCAGTGCTTTGCTGGTTGGCAGTCGAGATGTCTGAAGGACTGTGTAGTTTAACATTCATCATTTCTTTTGACTCGTTTTTTGGGGGGGGGGGGGGGGGGGGGGGGGGGATTAGGCGTTAGACATGCTATATATAAGCATGAATGTCAATGAGTGTGTTTCTCTGTGTAGTCAACAAGTAAAGGGCTAGTCAAGAGAAGAGAGTAGCTGACATGACACACAGGTCATTCAGTTCGATCAAAGCAAAGAATGTCTCCATTTGTCCTTATGTGACGCACCTCCATGCTGCTCCTTTTGTCACCCACTCATCAACTCTCATTAGCGGCCACCAGCTGGCCTAACCCCTGGCGCACAAACACGGCCTGGATGTCCTTGGTCTTGATGCAGAAGTCACAGGCCCAGACGGCGGCGCTCTCTCGTGTCAGCAGCCCGTACGCCGGCTCGGTCAGGCCTGTGCAGTCGCGGTGGAACCAGCGTTGGCACGACGCCTCGCACAGGATGGCGTCCTGGTCATCGTGCACCTCCGCCATGCAGAGGCCACAAGGGAAGACCATCCCGGGGCCGCCGAGTTTTCCAGGGCCGGTGCCAGGCCCGGTCGAGGGGACAGCGGGGCCGGGGGGCAGCGGAGACTGGGTGTTTGGGGTTGAAGTGGAGTTAGAGGGGGGATTGGGGTTGCTGCCAGGAGTGTTGCCTCCGTTGTTATTGGTCATGCTGTTCTGACCCGGGTTGGGGGCCGCATTTGGCATGGGACCACCAGCACCGGGAGTGTTGTTCTGCTGGTTGTACGGAGTGGAGCCAGGGGCAGAGTTCGGTGGGGTGGATTGCTGCTGCTGCTGGGTAGAGTTGTTAGAGTTGGGGGTGTTTGCATTGCTGGGGGGTTGTAGCTGACTGGGCGGTGGATGCTGTTGCTGGCCTGATCCATTCAGGGGACCAGTAGGAGAAGAGTTGGGGTTAGGCTGCGGAGGTGCTGAGGGAGGCTGACCGGGTGTATTGGAATTGGGCTGCTGGACGTCAGGGTGGCCAGGGAAGCCTCCTCCTGGTTGCGGGGGGCCGGAGTTAGGAGGAGGGCCAGGAGTGGTATTATTAGGAGGGGGGCCGTTAGGATTTAGGCTAAGCTGCTGTTGCTGCTGCTGCTGCTGCTGCTGCTGCTGCTGTTGTTGTTGTTGTTGTTGATGTTGTTGCTGTTGTTGTTGTTGCTGTTGCTGTTGCTGCTGTTGCTGTTGCTGCTGTTGCTGCTGAGGCCCAGGCGGAGGCCCTCCTCCACCAAAGTTTTTTACATCCTCGTTGCCTGGCCCTGGCGGACTGGGGCCAGGGTAGGGCCCATCCTGCGAGGGAGGGAACTGTCCTTGAGGGGGCATACCTGGTAACCCACCCACCATGTTGCCTCCGGGGCCACCGCCCATGCCACCCATCATGTTCATCCCAGGACCCATGCCTCCTCCCATGGGAGGCAGGGGGCCATGCGGGGGCCCTCTGGGACCTCCGCCACCAGGTAACGGTGGGCTGTTGAATGGGTGTCCACTCTGTCCGTGTTGCTGCTGTGGAGGCATGCCAAACCTAGGGTGGGGTGGCCCCCCTCCCCCAGGACCTCCCATAGCCCCTGGAGACAACATGGGATTGAATCCTGGCCCGGGGTGCATGGGTGGGCTAAAGTTTGGGGGCATGTTGAACTGAGAAGGGCCACCAGGGGGGAACCCACCCCCTCCCCCCCCCCCAGCGCCGCCACCTCCAAAGCCAGGCATTCCTCCAAAGCTAAGCTGGTGGTGAGGACCAGCGTTGGATGGAGGTCCGAACGGTAGCCTCCGTCCAGGTTGGCCGCCGCCTGGTCCAGCTGGGCCTCCCATGAAGCCCATGCCTACGCCCATTCTGCCCCCACCGACATACCCACCTCCTCCGCCTGGGCTGGGAATAAATGGAGCACTGCTTGGTGCACCTGTCCCAGTAGGTCGGGATGGGGGCCCGAAGTCATCGTCGAAGGGGTTGGAGGCGACCAGGTGGTCCACCATGGGGGTAGGAGGGGGTGCAAACTCCGTGAGGTGGGAGAATCCTGCCGCCTAAAACAAAAAGGATAACAAAAATACAGAATATGATTTTTTTTATTGCTTTCTCAAGACCGGATCTCTTCGCAGTCTTCGTGGTCCACTCGTCAAACACATAAAGAGAGAATGTTTCTTTGATGTGGCAAAGTAATCAGATTGCCAAAAGCAACCATTACCTGGTTGGTGGATTTCCTCGCCTTCTTCTTCTCCGGGCTCTTCATCTGTGAAGCTGAAAGAGTGAAATATGGAGGGACGGGGTGGGAAAAGGAGAAATGTAATATTAGCCATAATAATAACAACAGGATTCCATGTCTCATGCTATTGGTCCACCACCAATCAAGCGCACCATCACATTTGGATTGGCCAATACCCCTGAGTGACAGAGTGGAGCAGCGTTAGACCTAGGGCCTCTTTTTTTCCCAAGTCCAACAGTTGAGATGGATTCAATGATGGGACATAGACTGGCATGAGGACAAGATGCTGAACATCCAGGCGCCATCACCACCAAGGATATGAAGCCTTGGAATCGAGAAAAAAAATGACCCAGGCAGACCAAATGACCCCGGCGAGAGGGAAAGAGGCCGCAAACAAGAGGCAGAAGAGGTAAGGTCAATGAGGGAGACAGGAAAAGACGAGGACATGAGAACGAGGAAACGGAGTTGAAGGTACATTTATAGCAAGATAGACATGAACCCCGTCCACAGATCCACTCTGTGAGAAACAGCCACCACCGGAGACAGTCGTGAAGTTTACACATGGGGGGGGCGAGAAGGGAGTTGCTAACAGCACCAGTGCAGCCCATTGCAGCGCAGTAATGGATGATTCCGGTCTGATTGGGAGATGGGTGAAATTTATTCCTACCTTTGCTTCGTTTTCCTTGTCCCGCCAGTAGTTTCCCCGATTCGGCAGCCATTAGCTAATTATGACTGTCGGTGAAGTGGCATATCACCGTTCATGTGCAAGAAAAAAAAAAGTTTACAAAAAATGACGACGTCTTGAAGGCTACGAGCCGAGTGGGTGGAATCTGCCTTCAGGTCATGTCAATCACGTTAAAATGGTTATCATCACAGCAGTTAGTAACACGTATTTTATATTATAACGCCGGCCCAGGTCTGCAAACTCCGTTGCTGCTGCTGCAAAATATTTCGCCACGGTGTCTGTCACGCCGGGATTTGGTCACCAAATAAAACGTCAGGTAAAAACTCAGCTGGTTCACGTTATTTATTAGCACAAGTTCGCCTCGTTGAAAACCAGATCCAGCTAGCTGAGTGAAACTGGTTGCTCGCTACCTGGCTTGACTGCCAGTACAAGCAAGTTACAAGAGCACCCCCCCACAGTCAATGATCACTTACAGATGTGTAGCAAAGAAGTCCACCAGCTAGCTAACGCGAGCTAGTTTCTACCTCGGCTAACTAGCTAGCCACGTTACTCAATGTGGCTTGCTAGCAGCGGTGAGATTTTACCCCAGTAGCGGCAACACTGGAACATTAATCCGAAACTGTGATGTGCCGTTCTACAGTCATTTGTGAAAAGGTGCACTCAGTTCCACTTATCACAGCATTTATAAGATAAAGCAATTGATCATGTTTTGAAAACTGTTGTTTACTATGCTAACATTAGCTTGCTAGCTAACGTTAGCATGCCACTGAAGATAGCTAGCCATCTTGCAGACTGTCTTGGAAGCAAACTGTACCCTTTCTCCGTTGCTTGCTCTGCTGTCCTTTAAATTGAAACTCTCTGGTGTGTCATTGCCAGAAACCAGTCCTCACACGGTGTATGCTTGTTGATCCACCATTCAACTATAATTCATTCAAAAACGCAAATTTTGCCATAATTATCATGGCCTACTGTCGCCACCAGACAAAGAGGGACAAGCAGGAGTATCGCGCACCATGGAAGGTTACATCTCATCACAAACATGGGGGAGTCGATATGTATGCTTCATGAAATTAAAAAGTATGAAACATTATATCGATTAAAACACAGGTTGTGTTGTATAGTATATACTATTAAAATGTTTTGTTTTTTTTAACTATCTGTATAACCGTGGTTAACAGCATTTTACTAAATTGATAGAATACGTGTCATACCTATCACTTGTATATGTGGAGCAGCTCAAAACAGACCATTTCCCAACGATACCCGAATTAAAGGAGTGGAGATTAATTAGACATTATGAAGTGACATTAAGATTAATATATAATTAACATCCAACATCAAATTATTAACATAACTTTATCAATTTAAGTCGTATGGGGATAAAAAGTTCGTATGAATGGAGGTAAGCTTCTATACAGATGTTTTCAAGTTCCAGAGCCTAATCAAAATGTATTGAAATACCAACATTTTAGAAGTCCAACATACTTTTTCTTTTTTTTTTACTTTTTCAAGCTTATTCTTTAATTTTTGGTTAACAGATATTTTAATGTAAATATTTATTATGATGGTGTAGTTTCAAACAGAACCTACATAAATTACAAAGCCATCGATTACGCAATGTGTCGAATAATCTTGAAGTAAAATAACTCCCCAAAAGGCTATTCTGGTGTCTAATTAAAAGCTTATCACCGCCCACCCGGTCCTGCCTCCCCTCTTAACTTCAGATACCCCCTCCCCTCTCTATACTCCAGGCGCAGTCAGGAGCCCCATTGCGACAGTAGAAGGTTGTGAAAGACCAGATAAGCCACTTTGGGAATGGGACCACAAATCAGAAGCAAGAAGAACTTTGCCTTCTTTCGGGTGTTCCCACTCCGAAGACACCTTTTCATCCAACGGGAATGAACTATTCCTCTGAAGAAGAAGGAGCAGGTGTAAGATAATCACAAATGGGATAAAGTAGTGGTATTTGTTCATTTTTTTTCTTTTTTTTTTGCCAAATAGGCATGTAGCCTATTTTGTACTTACAAACGTTGTTTTTTTAAGTTGAAAGTTTAAGAATAGAACCATTGGCTTTTGGACGCATTTCTGACATGCTCTAAATTGAGGTGTGGAGATCCTTTAGTCTACACATGTTCTATCCTAGAATAAAGCAACGGAAGGAAGTCTTTTGTTGGAAAGGCTGTGATTTCTAAAGGTGCGTCTCTGGAGCCCTGTGGTGTATGGCGCTAAAAGGCATCGGAGCAGGCAGAGAGGTTTATTAGTTTCCATTCGAGTCACAATGGCAAAGTGGTTCAAGGAGTTCCCCATCAATCTGAAGAATGGTGCCGACAGGATCCGCTCAGCCTCCGAATCAGGCTCACAACCTAAAGCCGGGCTGGTGGCCAGCATCGGTACCAAAACAACAGGCTCCAAAACGGGCCATCGCAAAAACTTTTCTGGTGACAACGCAGGCGGAGGAGTTGGAGGAGTCGGGTCTCTACTGTCCGGAAGAAACCGAAAGAACTCCGCCATTGAGCTGAGTAGAAACGGTGCCATCTCGCCGAAAGATGGGAAAATCTGGGAGAACCTCCTGTCCGGGAAAAGTCGCAAGAACTCCAAAGCGGAGCCGGTGTTTGAGGAGCAGCACAGACCCCTGAAAAGCTCGCTATCTGCCAACGCGTTCATCAACCGGCTGATCAGAGTGGACAAACAGGACAAAAGCCCCAACTTCAACAGCGCCACCATCACCAATCAAGTGGTACCCGAAGCAGAGAAACCAGTCCAGTGCAAGACCGAGACGGTGAGCAGCCAATGCGATCTTTATAAGCCCCTTGTATATTTTTTGAGACTTGAGTTTTATTATATCACAAGGGAACGTAATTTGGCTCTAAACGAAATTAATGTTTTCTAACAGTTGTTTGCTGATTTAGATTTGTTTCCTGGTAGGCTTCGTTTGTCTGAAAAGTCCTCAGATTACTATATCAGATTAAGATGTTGCATAATTAGTTTATAATAGTACAATATTAAGGATTACTCCACCAAATATAGCTATAACTTAAAATTAGCTTTACGTCTTACAATACATCAGTACCTTGAGCTGTATTTCATTGATTCCATTTTCTGCTACTTGATACTTCTTCTCGACTTTCACTTTCAAATATTGTACTTTTTACTCCGCCGCTTTACTTGGTTACTTTACAGTTTGGGAGTATTTTTACAAAATATAATATACATAATGTTTAAGATTAGGCAGCCCAGCAATTTATAAAATAACTAAAATAATTCCCAGATTTAGCAGCAGCAGCATTAGTGATCACTGATCAACAGCAATTATAATCTAGTAATGGGCCCGCTCTGCATAATACATTTACTTGTCATCTAAGTATTTTTAGATTGTGGTATTACTACTTTTACTTCAGTAAACAATCTGTACTTCTTTCACTGGTAATCATAACCCCATAATATAATATAATGATATCGTAACATAACAGTATGACAGTAATCATTATGTCAGCTACATTTTGTTGCGATGGCACCCAAACTTCAGCAAATCATTTTACTTATAAAATTTCTACACTGTGGTATTGTTACTTTCACTGAAGTAAACCGCCGCTGATTGATCGCTAGTGTTGGAATGGGAAATTAAATGCATTTTATTTACGTATTTTAATTTAACCTGTGTCAGCATTCTCTTATTCTAGCGGCACGTAGTGTCATTGTCACTGTTGACAATAATGTAACAAAGGATCCAGTCCAAGCTGTGAAAATTGATATTATTGTTTTAGCTTCTCCCTCCCCTTTGTCTCCACTACCATTGTGTCCACTCCCCCCAGTCCGTCTTTCTATCTCTCTGTCTCTTCCTCTCCACCCTTCGCCTTTAAACCCAACGAGCTCGCCTTGACTACAAAGCTGTGGTCGGACATAAGGCCTTACCTTCCTCTCCTGTATGTTATCTGGCTCAGTATTCCTCTTTTCTCACCCCTCCTTCCTCCACCTCATCCCCCTCTTTCACTGGATTCAGCCCCCCCTGGTGAAGAAGGCTATCATGTTATAATAAGCATCGTGTTATTTGACACTTAGGCGCTAACCCAAGTCCCCTCCAGCTTGGCTTTGAAAAAAAAGGGGAGAAAGATAGTGAAGTGAGGTGAGAGATGAGAACAAAATACACACAAAAGAGAGAAAGAATCAAATGGGAGTTTTATATTTCAGGAAGGGAGTAAATCCCTGTTATTGATCTCCACTGCAGCCACCGGGTTTGATTGTTACTGTGTGTTGTATTTCCTTGTTAATAAAGAATATGATGTTATTTCCACAAGCGTTGAATGTGTAACATGCTGTTAGACCTGCATATGTATACCTGTGTTGTAGTCTGCATCTAAAGCGCTCTAAACATCTATCTGACTTTCAGCCTGTCAAGCATCTGCTACTTTATTCAAACACCAACTAATGCCAACATGTCTTTGGCAAGGGAACACGACTGGAAGTGATTAGAGGGGGACAACTTCACTTTACAGGACGCCATTGTCTCTTGGCCAGTGGCTTGTAAAACAAACAAGAAGTTATATGGCACTGATAAGATGACAGGACAGTCAGGCGTGACCGGTGTCGCAGAATAGAGGCTGTGAACAGACAGATGTGAATGTGAAGAGAGTGGGATTTACAACAAAGAGTGCCTCTTCAGACAAGATAAGATGTCTGGTATTACTCTGATCGGTTCTTTTTTGTCTGACATCGACGCCAACTGTACTACAGCTGAAATAATGAATCGATCGGTCGGTCGCAATTTCATTGGCAACTATTTTGATAATTGATTAACTGCAAAAATAGCAAAATGAGGATATTCTGTCTGTAACACATCATAGTACAGTATATTGAACATCTTTAGGTTTGGGACTATTTGACCAAAAGACATTTGGTCAAATATAATGGGTATTTTCCACTATTTTCTGACATTTTATATAGAAGGTGATACATTTATTAGTCAGGAAAATATTCAGCAGATTCGATGATAATTCAAATAATTGTTAGTTGCAGCCCTATTTTTAACTGGATGGTATCTAACACTATCAATTATATAAATGCAATTTATTTCATACCAAATACTGATTCTGGAATGGTCCATGGTCTTATTTTCCTTTTCTTTCCAGTAGATTTAGTTGAATATTGGTACTACTACTTGAAGTGGCAGAGGTTGGACGATTCAACCATTTATTTACTTTAAATCATCTGTGTCAACTTCTCTGCAGGTGTATCTGCTGGAAACGTCAGAAGTAATTGTTGCCCTACTTGGGGAATCCCATTTTCTTTTTCATGCGCCTGGCACACTTTTAGCCCAACAACAATATTTCCTTTCAGGAAACGTAGCCTATACTGTTTTTACATCTAATTATGCATAAAAAGAAATAGTGATTTCCTGCGTTTTTTTGATCCAGGTGATCATCCTAGAGGATTACGCAGATCCCTTTGATGCTCAGAAGACCAGAGAGCAAAGGGAGGCAGAGAGGGTCGGGGAGAACGATGGCTACATGGAGCCATACGATGCCCAGCAGATGATCACTGGTGAGACGTTCATCAATGTGCTCTTACTGCCTCCTCTTGTAGCTGTCAGCTGTGGCGACGATGTTTCATTCGGTCCCTGAATCACAGAATCTGTACAGCTGACGTTTCACACACGTAGCCCCTGTGTGAACGAATCCCATTTTCAGTCTCTGCGGGCCGAGCAGCGAGAGCACAAACTCGCTCCTCGAGTGCTCTCTGCACCCCACGGGGGTTGCCATGGCAACTGCGCTGCGTTCGGACAATGGGTGCAGTTTCCTGCCCCTGCTTCCTCTTTCCTGTCTCTGTTTCCTGGTACCATTCTCTAAAAAGGAAGGCGGCCCTCAGTGCCCCCACCTCCTCTCGGACGCGGCTCTGTGTAACCCCCTATATGGACCTCTCTGACCATTTATCAAAACTTCCCAGCATCTAGGAAGACCGGTGGTCCGTCAGGCTAATCGCATGCTCTCCCGACCTTTCATTCCATCACTCCATTGTTTTAACTAAAAGGGTTACACAATAGCCCGCTGTGAATGCGAATGGTTTATTGCAGTTCAATCAGTGCCTGTGCTACTTCCAGGCCTCCTCAGAGAAGTCTGCAGAGGATGTGATGATGTGACTGAGTCAATTTATGAGGCTTAAATCATACTGAGGAAGTAAGCAGGAGTCTGATGTCACTGTGGGTCAACAAGCAAGGCAGATGAGTTACTGACCTGAATCATCTTTTATAAAGGCTTTAAAAGTAGTACAAAATTAATAAATCCTTTACTAACCTCACCTCTGAAACAAAATCTATTAATTTAGAACTTAATTAACATTTATTAATGTATTACCAACATTCATAACAGCATTACAGCCAAATAAAAAGGATACATACATCTCTGCAGGCTGCCTCTCTGCGTTGTGGTTCTGTACTGATCTCTCAGCACAGATTTTAATCTTTAATCCCTTGTTTTCTACCTGCAAGAGATTAGACGTCGGGGGTCCAAGGACCTGCTGAAGGTGTGTGTGCTGATGGAGGCCAGCGAGGGAACGGTGGAGGACAGTCAGCCCGTGCCCTTACAGATATATGACGTCCCGTATGAGGGCAGTGGTGACGGGGACAAGGCGGCCGTCACGCGGCCCGAGCTGGATCGCCGACCCTCCACTGAGTACGAGCTGCCCTGGGAGTGGAAGAAAGAGCACATTGTCAAAACTCTGTCAGGTACATCAGACGTTTTTTACGCCACAGCCAAATTGATCGCAGACACAAAGACATCTGAGAACAAGCTAAGCACCAAGGAAATGTTTGCTCATGCACACCTGAACTGAATTTCTTGCACTTTTAGATTGTTAATATTTTCTTTATCTTTATAATTTAAATAGTAACGCTTTTAAAAGTAAGTAAAAGACATACATCACCAGCTGCAGTGTTGCTGAACTCGTATATAACCCTGCCACTTCTCTATCTTAGATCAGTATGGAGTCTATTTGTTCCAAAAAAACAACTCAGGCCTGCTCTTACATTTATATTTCATATGCTGCATAGACCAACAGCATATTGAATCACATCTTGCATGATTCATCAAACCGCCGTCTTCTCATTCTGTATTGGAGGCTTCGGCACAAAGTTCAAACTCAGGCACAGAGTCAGTTCTTTCTTGACATGAATTGATATCTTCTCTCGTCTCTCTTCTTCCCCCAGCACAGTTTGACAGCCCTGAGCGTCAAACCAAAGAGGAGACGCCTCACCCTACACTCACCAGGCAGCCCCAACATCCGCTGGCCCAGCCTCCGCAGCAGCATCAGCACCTGAGGCAGAAAAGCTGGACCCAGAAGATCCTGCGGTCCTCCCCTACGACGCTGTCGCCACCCTGCGCCCCCGGAAACATCCCAGACACCGAGGCCTGTTGTGTTGACCCCTGCCTGCCCCTGGAAAAACAGAGGTGAGGAGCAGAAGTGACCCCGTGGGTGCATAGAACTTGCACTACGCAAACTGTTTTAGTCAGAATGTGTCTGCTCATGTGTCTTATAAACCGCACTCCGGATTGTTAATAGATTTCAGAGTTACGCAAGAGTCATGCTCAAGAGGTTTGTATGAAATGAGGATCCAGACCTGATAAGTAGCAGATGAAACGCAATCCCCCCTCACTCTCACCCTCTTTCTTAGCTGGTACCATGGCTGTGTGACTCGTCAGGAGGCGGAGTTTCAGCTGCAGTCCTGCAAAGAGGCCAGCTTCCTGGTCAGGAACAGCGAGTCGGACTGCAGCAAGTACTCCATCGCCCTCAAGTGAGTGCAGCCTGAAAGTGCATCGGTAGTGTCTCAAGGGCTGAAATTGTACACATTGATCACATACTGTGTGCACTATGAAAGGATTCAGATGGATTTGGTCCAGGTGTAAACTCAGCAGAGGAAAGTTGTTTGTGTCATAATTCCCTTTCAGTCAAACAAAAGATCCTCCCACTGTATTAAAGGCTCCCATGGTTTTAACAGTGGTTCGTTTCTTTCTAAAATAGATTTTAATCAGGTGTCATCACATAGATCATCATCATATTTGACAAAAAAAACTGCTTAATTCTCTTTTCTTCTTCCTTGTCATCTGTGTGACTCAGGACGAGCCAAGGCTGCGTTCACATCATTGTTGCCCAGACCAAAGAAAACGGTTACACCCTGGACCAGAGCAGCTGCGTGTTCCCCACCATCCCAGAGGTGGTGCGTCACTACTGCTCCCGGCGCCTGCCGTTCGACGGCGCTGAGCACATGACTCTGTTGCATCCAGTGCTTCGCATCCACTGACTCCACCCAGCCCCAACTTAGGTATTCAAAACGAACACACCTCTAGGCCTGCAGGGACAAAATGTTTCCAAAAATCAGTCGTGACCTCGCCTCTCTGAACCAGTGTGTACTTCCACTGCTCTGTCTCACTTTATAACTTGACTGTGTGACCCTACTTTGTGTTATTTTTGAATCATTTTCTTATTTTTCTTTGATGATCAGAAAACATTTGCAGCTCACTCTGTGTCTCACTAGATGCCTCCTTCTGTCTTTATTTTACTCTGATGTTTAGCTGATGCAAAACATCCAAGCTGCTGTTTTGCATGTGAGACGATGAGGCAATTGGGACCAAGACTCATACACTGATGTTTTAATTATCCAATGTGGCTCTATTAGAAGCTACAGGTAATATTTTTGTTGTGAAGTGAAATTTCCCATGAATTAGAAAAGACTTGGAGTGAATCTCTGTAGTATGTGGCTCTCTTTCCCCCTCTGGTGGATAAGATGCTACACTGCATTAAAATGCCAACACAAAGAAGTCTCTTCTTCCCTCAAAATTGATGGGTAAAATCCAAACACAGAGCATATCATTACACTTATTATGAACAAAGAGCAGCTATTTTAATATTTAGCGCTTGCAGCATGTTTCTAATATATGCTCTTGTAGTTGTTGGTTGTAACCACTGCACCTTGAGGACTTCCTCTGTTTCACTGTGAATGACGGAGTTGTTTCCACTGTGTTATCTGCACTGTGAAGAATGAGTGATTCACCCTGATGTAATGTGCTTGACGGGCCGTGGCTTTACAATTAGTTAGTGTTTGACGAGAACTGAGACCACACTTCATCTCAATAAGCCTGTCCAATCTGGGGGAATACTTGTAAAATAAACCTGCAGATTATTGTAATTTGTGGTGAGAAAGCTTTGTAAAATTAACGTTTTTTGTCTGACTTCTTTATCTCTACACACGGGGATCATTTATAGATATAAGTGCAGAAATTAATGACTAAAATTGCAATAAAATGAACAAAAACAACTGTTAAAAAAGCCATTGTTCATTCAGACCTGTGATGCCGTTCTCCCTCAGGGTTTAATGCCCCCTGGTGCTCAAATTGACATAACTATATTGTAGTCCCTAGAGTCATTTTTTTTCTTTGTGCATTCGAAATGTAACTCAAACATTTGGCCTGGTATGTGTACTCTTAGAGATGCTGGAAATCATTTGGACAACTCTGATCTGCAACAAAGCCAGGATGACAATAAAATATGGTTTAACTAAGGCTCAGTTTTGTCTTATGTTCTCTTGTTTTGGAGGCCTGCCAGTTTTTATATCTCTTCGAAGATTTAAGCAAGGTCACATTGTAGTTTTTGGCAGAGCACTGAAGCAGACGTTATACGAGGACGCACACCTGCAATGCATATTTCACCGTTCCTCTTGACGTTTTGCTATGTCAAGACCTGTTTTTCGGAAATCGTTAAACGGATTAGAATAAAAGTACGTGAATCTTGAGGCTGGAGGTCCCCTGTGGCCTTCTTTCTGATCCTAATAAATCAACAACACGAACAGCAACATGCGAGGGTGTTTGTGTCAGTGATGTGTGCTGAAAGGGAGTGATCAAAGCGACAAACTGCCTTATTGTCCCCGAGGAAGCAGCCTCTTCACAGACGCTTCCAATGACTGAATGAGGGCACTTTTGAGCATAATGAATCTTTCAACTGCAAGAGCTTGATTGTGGTGTCAGTGGTTTGGTAATTTGTCTGGAAGTTTAGTGCTCCAATTGGCTAAAAGGGGGTAGATTATTATGCCAAATTAGAGTGAAAATGTCAGAAGGAAAGGTCTAGTGGGGGAGATTAGGTTGAGCTGAGGATCATGTTGAGGATAATCAAGGAGCACTGAGGGCTGTGCTGTGGGTAGATCTGAGGTAAATGCAGCACTAAAAGCAGACAAAGAGTAAGAGTAGTACCATTACAACGGTGTCAAGGACGTTAAATGTGAAGGGAAAAAAGAGCAATTGACACCAAGCCTCCTTTTCTTACGTATCATTTGCCCCTCTCCTTTACCTCACTCTGTTACTGTTACCCGAGGCTGATATCCGTCTGTCACCTTGACTCTCGGGGAGGACACTATCGCTGTTTGCTTCTCTATTTGGGGCCAAGAGTTTGTGTTTTAATTTATGAAGGCAAGTGACCCAGAATTTAGATTCCGTTACATCAATATAGATAAGTAAACTACAAGTACCTTAATACAGCACTCGAGTATATGGGATTCATTACTTTCCACCACCGCCTGTTATATCAAAGCATGTTCTTTATGAATCAGGCGTGCCAGGTCCTTGTAATTCATATGTCTCCTGACTTGAGCGCTGCAGCCATAAGGTTTCCCTGAGGTCTTCTCTCAAGATGGATTTCATGAACCTGTGGAAAGCAGGCCTTCTCAATTTCTACCCAAGAGAGAGCGAGCTACACCTGGAACGGAATTAATCATCACGCGATATATAGACCTGGAGCCATCTTCGCTACTGTATACTTGAATGAATAATTTCATTTTGTTCTCGCATGTATGCCACCCTTCTCTCATGCTGCCCCCCCCAGGCTTGCATGACAGCTTGACGTGATTCCCCGCCTGACTCTGCCTGATGGACGTGGTGGCTTGACATCTGGGCGTCGCTTGACCTGCTCTGCTGGTAACCGAAGTTTCCCTGTCTTCCTTATCAGATGCTTCAGGCTCGGCGCCAGTGACCTGGCCCGGCTTTGTGTCGCTCTTCTCCTTTCCTCACGCTGGCAGCACCTGCCATGTGTGATCCATCAGCAGAGACTCGTGCCTTTTAGGATGAACCGGCCACCTTGGAAGGTCAGGCGTGTTTTTAGATACTGTTTGCAGGATGTCCTCCAGCCATTGTTTGTCTAAGTGTGGTTGAAAAGGCCACGTGACTGAGAATTAAGTAACTGCCCCAGAGCATAACTCCCAGAGGATGCCTGTCTTACAGCTGAACTGATACACCTCAGTTACAAGGCCCAAATTAATTGAACAGCTTCCATTCTTTTATAACAGAATCTCATTGTATTGAATTAGCACCAAATTTAAATACAAAATACATTTATAGTCTAAAGATATGCACTTATTATATGTAAAATGACATTACTCACCAGTGCAAAGACAGTTTTTTAAAATTAATTATTATCTCTGATAGGTATACTTTTAACTGAATTACATTTATGTAAAGGTTTACATAAAAAAAAAACCACATACAACACAATGCATTGTTGAAGATTAAAATGGTGGTTCCTGACATTGTATGACTTGTGTCCCTTCACAGAAAGCAGTGTGTAGTTGGGCCCCTAGTAACATTTAATAATATGCCTATGAGTTGAGAGCAGTTTCACCAAAGAGTGATTTCCCCTCTAAATTTCTCAAATGGTTTTATTTAAATAAATGTGACTCTTTGGAACCACTGGACTAAACCACCCTGTAAAGTAAATAAATTCAGCTCCACCACCAGCTACAAGATTAAAATGCAGCTTGTGCATTGATGCACCAGTACCATTACATCATACATAACTCAGGGGGCCCATTTTTCTGTAGAAAGAGTAGCCAAATTTTTACTTTCAGTACATTTGGCTGCAAATGCTTCAGTATTTTTTTGAAGTTTGAATAAAGGACCATTGCGATGCTAACTATCGGAGTTGGCCCACAAAAACACGTCTTCCCTACAGCACTCCATTGGCACTTTGACCTAAAGGTGCTGAATTGAGGTTGCCTCCGCGAGGCTCTCAACATGGCGACCGCTGAGGCCGGCGCTCTCAGCTAACAGCGGCAACAGTGCTAACAGTGTTTGCCTGAGAGGTGGGCGCTACGGTTCCGCGTCATGGGTCAGCGTAATCAGCTGTAACTGCTGTATGAGCGCCTTATAAGCGCAGTGCAGAGGACAATAGGGAGATTAACGTGCACGCGTGGCCGACCCGGCTTTTTCAAAAATGCGCAGAGTACCTCAAACACACACAGAAGGAGGGCAACTTCATTCTCTGCTTAGGTAGACATTACTCCACGATATCTTTACATAGCGAATAGTTGTCTGCTGCTATTGTAATACTCTGAATATCATATAGAGAACTTTTAGAGAAGTAAAAGATCTGAACACTTCTTCCACCACTGTAGGAATACTGTATGTTTGTTATGTCTGTATTTTACATTTTGAATATTATCCTTTTTTTATATACCTGCAGTTGCCTTAAAAACTCCAAAACTCTGTTGCTAAGAGGCATCTAATCTTCCTTCTCCTTTTCTGCAAGGTGTTTGTATTATCTTGTCAACCCCGTTCTGTCCTACATGATAACAGCTGTTGTACTGATCTTTTGGAACGAGAAAACAGTTAGCCAAGGCTGTTAACACTCATAAACAGGTTGTTTGTTTCCCTTTAGGCTACAACAGGGTTAACAGTCATGGACACCGTAATGTTTTGAATTGTTAACCTATCTGCAGGCCCAGCACCTCCAGCTCAAATATTCAAACAGCCCAATCAGAGGATGCGCCTAGGGCACACAGAGGGCGGACGAATGAAAGCAGATAGGGTGGACCCCGCCCATAGACGGTGGCTGACCTGGAATCAGTTTCTCATTATCGCTGAAAGTAAGAAGAGGAGGCTCATCAGTGTTCAAGCACAACTGCACCCAGAAGTGAAGAAATCCCTCCGGCTGAAAGGATCTGTGATTCAGCTGCTCAGCGTTTCGTCTTTTAAACTGATGGGCAGCTGTGAAAGCCAATGAGGTGGAAGATGAAGTGTTGACTTACTGTGTGTGTGTGTGCGTGTGTGTGTGTGTGTGTTTTAGACACCGAGGGACAGTAAGGGTGCTAACAGTCACAGCAACTTCAACATTCCACTGTGATTATACCATTGCTTTCCAAGTTACATATTTGACTAATGTACTCCATAAATTGGATTCACTGACTGCCTATGCAGTCCTTCCTTCATTTACAAACACACGCATGCACACAAACACCCTTTATCTTCCCTCACACCCTCTCTCTTTCTTTCTTTCTTTCTTTCTCTTGCTTTGCTCCCTCTGTCTCTCTCTCTCTTTCTCACTCTCTTTTGAAGAAGTTTTCCATGCAGATCCAAGTCAAACATCTGGGTCAGCTTATATCTAGTGGAACAAGACTTGCAGGATATTGTTGGCAGGATGTGTGAGCTGGAGCAGTTTACTCTGTGGGAATCCTCAATACACACATGCACACACACACACACACACACACACACACACATATACACAAACAGACACAGAGAGAGAGAGAGACATGCTCTGCTCCATTCAACTTGATTTCCAGGTGCAGCAATTCATGCCCATCATGTCGATGAATACTTGTGCAGCATGAGGGATTTTGAAGTGTGCAAAACCAAACACACCATAGTAAATAGTTGGTTAAATGCCATGTTTAATATTTTGAAGAATGCATTGGTTATTACCAAAAAGGATTACAAAATATGCACAAGAAAGGGGATAAATCATATTGTATTGTTCAACGCTGAGTACATACACTTTTGCAACTTAATATATGTTCGCAAATTATTCATATGCAAGAAGTGCTAAAACATCGTGGTGTGCGTTCTGCAAAACTCGGACTTCCTTTCTCTCCAGTGCCTACTTCAGAATATGCTGTTAAAACTGCTATACTTGAGTGGAAAGAAGTTGAATATATGCCCTGTTCTGTATGTAGAGTCTCTCACTGCTTTGAGTGCGACTTGCATCCCGGATATGCTTTGGTCTGAAAAACAATTGCAGAGGAGAAAACACTTCTCCTGCCGAAGGCCCCGATTACTGTGAACCCGCATACTTTCTGCCGGACCACTCCCCTCCGCTCTCCTACTCTGTCCTCTTTCCCTTACAGCCATCTCCCCTCCTCCTTCTTTATGCCCCCCCACCCCCCCCTTTCCCCTTCACCTTCACCCTCTTTCCACCTCCCACTTCTCTCCCCACAATTCGCTCTTGCACTGATTCAATTCTTCTTCTCCGCCGACTCGCCTTCTGTCGGTTTCTCATCTGTTTTGCAATCCAGGAAGAAGTCGTTGCAGGCGACTGTGAGTGCGCCCATCAGGATGATGAACTCGGTGAAGTCCACCTCTCCGTCGTTGTTGGCGTCCAGGTCGTTCATCACCTTCTCAACCGCATCATTATCTTTGGAGCCCTGTCAGAGGGGGACCAGAGAGAGAGAGCGTTAAGAATGTGTCCTCTGTTACGTGTGTGTGTGTGTGTGTGTGTGTGTGTGTGTGTGTGGGGGGGGGGGCAAACATCACTGCACAAGCCTGTCTGAACTTGTGCGTAAGACTATGTGAGCGAATACCTCCGCTTGTGTGTCACATATTTGTGTATTGCATTAGAGCGTCAGTGTTGCCTCATCACACACTCTTTCTCTTACCCCTAAGTAAGTCCCCAGCTCCTCTAGAAGCAGCTCCTTCAGTTCGCCCCTGCTCAGCGTGTACTTGTCGCCCTCCTTCCCGGAGTACTTGTGGAAGGTCTTTATGAGCATCTGCATGGCACTCTCCAGGTTGGAACTGGGCTCCTTGGACATGCTGGAAAGGTATCGGGGTCAAAAGGTCAGAGTTCTGCCGCAAAATGCCCGCTCCAGCCCCGGCATGCATGTGCGGTCACATGGCAGTCAAGGGTGAAGCCGCCTCTAAGTCAAAGTGATAGCAGGACAGGCAGATGGATGGTAAGAAGGAAGGAGGTTTTTTGTTTTTCCCCATTTCTACACAATGGGTTGAATAACGCTCTGCGTGTAGTGCAGAGCGTATTACCAAATTGAAATAGTGTGGTCACTGTGTGTGCATGACCTTACTGGGTTTTTACATTTCAGAGGTTTGGATGGAAAGATGGAGGATGGCTTTGGAAAAGCTTTTCGAAACAATCTTACACACATTGTGTCCGGCATCTTGGAGCTTCTTGTGCTGGACTTGTGGAGAGACTGCACACACAGACACAGATAATTCACTGTCAATGATGCAAAAACAGTCAGAGAGTGAAGATTTTCTATCTCAATGTATTAAAAAAAAAGAAAAAAGGAATGCGCTCTTCATGTCACCTCAAAGATAGTTTGAAGAACATTTGAGCTTGTCCACGTCTTGGGTTGGGTTGTCGCTCCTCTAAACTGAATGGGTAATACATGTAACGATTAACTGTGTTTCAACGTGGAACAGGTTCTACGTCTGTTGATCGTGTAACAGCCTCATCATCAAAGATGGAAACCAGGAGAGAAACACAAAACTCGTCTGGCATTCAGACACTGAGGGGCCGAGTAACATGAGGTGCCCACGTACCGTATTCTCCAACACTCACTCCCTTCCACGCTCGCTGAAGTCTAAAGTTTAGGGACAGAGCTCTATAAAAATAAAAATCGACAGCGGTGTGTCGAGGCTAATCCGTAACCACGCAGAATACTGATGGATACAGCCAATCCGTCAATCAATCCCTGTGCATGTTTTATGCACTACCAGCTACACTACAAAGGGTGACAGGGATGCTGGTGTCAGTCACCAGTTATTGCCTCTCATCAATGCCGCAGAGCTTTGTGAAGGAGCGGTCAGAGTTGTAGGCGGCGGAGACCAAAGCTGGCTAACTAGAAAGTCTATAGGGGTCATCTGTCTCCCTCGCTGACACAAGACAATAGGAAACCATGGAGACGAATATGCTCTCAGTAACACAATATAGTGTATGGTTATAAAGAATATGCACTATGTAAACTTATTGATGGAGCAATATCTACGCCGAGTGATGAACGAGGTTAAAGGTTTGGTTAAAAAAAGTACAATGCACTAATGGTTTGGTACATCCATGCCATGCTTATAGTTGTTATTCATATGTTTTAAATACTTAATTCTACATCAATGCCAGTATATTCCCCTTTTTACTTTTCAACACTGCTTTGCTACAAAATCCCTATTGGCTTCACTTGCTTGATGTATGAATTCCCTGTCATGCTCTTTTCAAAGCTTGCACATCAAAAAAAAGCAGACGGTACAAGAAAATAAAAAGTTGGTCCTCCGCTGGGCGCGCACTGTCTTTCTGCTCTGAAGGCTTTTGAATCTACAGATATTTGCTGCAGTTGCACAGCTGATAAAATGCTTTAAATGTGCTTTTTTTTTTAAAGTGAACACCCCATTAGCTGCAGAGGAGAAAGTAGAGGGAAGAAACCCCTCCAAGCTGTCTGTCTTACCTGCGTGCTGATGTAGGGCCTCCTTTGTCTTTGAAGAGGTGCAGGGGACTGAGCCAAGGCAGAGATAGATGGGGAGAGAGTATGCCAGTGTCTTAAATATCACCTGCCCCTCGCCCTCCTCCCCCTTCTCCTCACCCCCCCAAAACCCTCTTACATACTCTTTCTCTATCCTCCCTCCCTCTCTCTCTTTGCAGGTACTTTCTCTCCATCCCACACACACACACACACACACACACACACACACACACACACACACACACACACACACACACACACACACGAGATAACTGGATCCTTGCCATCACATAGCAGGCCACACAAATACAGACTTGTTATTGTCACAGTTTTATTCAATATTAGCCATTAAACATGTTACATAGAATTAGCAAAAATGATACAGCATTGCATATGAAGCTTTACACACCAGCTTAGTGGAGTTTACTGGACATAACAGCGGACTGAAATGAGTCCAACTGCTAAACACCGAACACACCCTCAAGTACTTGGCAGGAAATAAGCAGAGTACATCAGCGCACAATGATGAGAGCCTGCACAATACCCTGGGAATGGTCCCATTATCTCAGACATTTTGACCCAAAGCACATCCACATACTTGTATGTACATTTCTTTTATCCGCTGGGAGGGCTCTTAACACAGGTTTTTATCTTTCTCTGTCACAGAATGAATGGGATTTATTGTGCGTCAATGAAAATCTGGCTGCAAACACTCCCTGCCACAAATCCGCTGTTTAGTTCCAGCATGTTTTTAATCTACTTGGAGTTAAGGCTGGGCGGGGTTCACACTATGGGACAGTTCAATGTCTTTGTTAGTAAGAGAACTCTGCTCTCATAGTTCACTCCGTCCATCTGCGGTTCCAAATAGATTAAAAAAATAATGCGTTAGCTGCTGTAGATTAAGTTCCAGATGATGTTTAAGCCAGGTCTGTTCATGCTAAATCAGTTGCTAGTGCAAGACAAGTCTCTTTTTTTTTTTTTTTTTAAATGCCAGTATAGTGAATCTTGCTTTGTCCAGATTTTTTAATCTTACATCATTTTGCATATGATGATCGGTTGAGAGTAATCTCAACACGTCTGGCCAAGGGCCTGAGGCCAAAGTACACATTGAACAGAAAGCTGGCTGTAGATGACGCAAGTGTGTGATATGTCTCCATTATTCACAGGAAGTACCATGATTAGAAAATGTTTTGATATAAAAAAAAGAATATAGGTTGAAATCATAATATAGACTAAATAGCCTAACATGTCCAGTAGGTTTGTTGGCAATAGAGCATGCAGGAAACACAGCGTACTACGAGTATAAAGGCTGAGCAGAGTGAGTGTAAATGAGAGTATTTACAATGGGAGTGTCGCTGTGAGGCAGGGTGACCGCATGACTCGCAGGTTTATTTGTTTTGCCCATTTTGCTGCAGAGCAGTTTGTGGTGCCAGGTGCTGTTACAGTGCATAAGGTGCAGATTTGCTAGTGTGCCCAAAATGTGTGCGCCTTAAGCACGACACGGCTGGCCAGGTACATATAACATAGAGGGCCTGCAACGCAAGCCTTTTTTTCTCATGGCTGCATTATTGATGAGGAGACAACTTACAAATCATTAAATTGTAATTAACAAATTGCATATAATGTGACAAAGCAGTACATCTTCAAGTGATCTCCGTAGTGGTCCAAACAGGAAAGAGTTAGGTTAAAAAGTTACATATAAGGAGGCCATGTTGAACTTAAATATTTGGCCACAATAATTGCAATACAATGCAAATACCTTTGTGATCGCATGCAACATCTTACGTAGTGACCTGTTGTAAAAGATCACACCACATAGATTCATGTAGATGGCTCAGTATTCTTTTTTTTTTTTTTTCAAAGCACCTGGTCTGATGGGCAGGTTCACTGGAGCCCGGGATTACTTTCATGTAATTGTTTGTGTCCCAGGGTGTGTTACCCCTCAAATGCCTAATCCAGTGGTTTCCCAATGCCTGTGACTCAAGGATCCAGTTGCCGGTCAAACAGGGTCTTTAAACGGTATGAGGGTGTAACCGACAAACAAACACGCAAGCCTTAACAACTGGTGTTTAAACAAGCTGGAAACAACAAGCAACAATTAGCATTTTTCTTTAAAAAAGCCAGGTTTCAATAACCATTGAAATGCCATCTGGTTTGAAAGACACACAACAAATTAAGATGCACTAATTGTATCGTATAGCACTTCAGATAAAAACTGCAGGTGACACCTGTTATTGGCTTCATTCTTCTTTTCTTTTTTTTTACTTCTTGATGTTTGTTGTCATGTGGTGTTTGTTGTCTTGTTCTTTTCTACCAGCTCTAATCCAGGTGGATTAGGTTGCATGAACACCTTCTCTGGTCACCAGTCCACTCCCATGGGACTATTTTAGGCTCCCATTTGACTATAGGGGTTCTTTGGTGTGGATTCCATTCTTGAACCTTAATTATTTAGCCTTAACGGCCACACTTTATCTTCCAGTTCCTAATCTATGGCTGACTACGACTCAAGGGAATATACTGTAGGATCTACATGAAGTGAACGTCTCTGGGATTTACAGAAATGAAAGAAAGGGCCAGAGAGCCTATAAAGAGGACTAGAAAGGTGGGGCATACACATCGGGTTGAAGTAATGCAAATCTTTAGTAAAACAATTTGTTTATTGTCATGCCAAATCAGCTCCATAGCAACGCGAGTTAAAAGACGAGAACGTAAAAATAAAAATAAAAAATAGTGTTATTGTGTTTGTGATTTTCCTGCAAACATAAGAACAGTTCAACACTCTGGGGAATTATTATTATTAGGGAATTATAGTGTACGTCGATCGTCTCATCAGACTCCTGGCAAGAAAGCTAATTATCATATTTCCCAAATGTCAAACTATTCCTTTAAGCCATTAATGCTTAGCATGATGTCCTACTGAGGCCCAATGTAGTAAGTAGCGTAGAGGAGTGTAATATGGGAGCCAGATAAAAGTAGATAAAGGACGATATTTAAGCTTAAGATATTGGCTGCAGTGACACTTTGGTCACACGTGTCAGCGTGGCTGCTGCAGGTAAATCATATTTTGTGGCACATTTTTCACAGGGATATGGCATGCGTATGATAGTGTATGTCTGCACGTTATCATAGGATAGTATCATAATGAGGTAAATGTGCTATATAGTGGGATGCATATGCTGTACATATGAACATAGTGGTAAGTAGTGGTGCAAAGCAGTGACTCTACTGTCATGTGTTATTTATCGTTTATGAGGAATGGAGCTGGGTTTGTAGTGTTTCAACTTTTATCAATATTTTGTATTTCAAGGTTGTGTGAATTTGAAAAAAATTATTTCGTGGCTTCCCAACTTATTTTGGGATTAATGCTGCGTTTTGTGTAGGGTTGAATGCAAGCGAGTAGTGTAATTTTTTTAAATTTTTTTGTGAATGAATGGATTGTCCCCTATGAGGTTGCCTCCTCTATCTTCTTCTCCACTTCTTCCTCCAATCTAGGAATCTCCATCTCTGGAGCCATTATCCCCGGCTCTCCTCTCGTACACACTGGCAAATCTACCTCACCCATCGAGATCAGCCCCTTTGCTTTCTCCTCCTCTGACATTGCTGCCTCAGGCTGCGTCTCCCCCTCTGACTTTATTTCTACCGTTTCTCCTACATTTTCTTCTACCTTTACTTCAGCAGCTGCTTCTACTTTTGCAGCATTATTGGCTTCTGGCTTAGCTTCCTCCTTTGCCTCTGGCTTATCTTCCTCCTTTTCCTCTGCGCGTGCCTGTGGCTTTGCTTCCTCCTTTGCCTCTGGCTTTGCCTCCTCTTTTTCCGGACCGGTGGCAATTTCCACCGGTTCGGACGCAGCGTTTTGGGCCGGTTCCTTTTTGGCGAGGTTGCGCTGCTCGCTGCGCGACACTGCCAGGTAGCCGACCAGCTGCAGGTACTCCTCGAAACCGACCTTGCCGTCGTGGTTGGCATCCAGTCCCTGGCCCATGTTTTTGATCGCCTCCTTGCTGTCTGTGTCCTGTATAGCAGGCACACGCAACCATGAGACAATCAAGCATGATAATTAGTAACTCTACCTGGACTCCCACTGGTGAAATCACCATACATGATTAGTAAATGACCCTCCATCTGTGGCTCTATCTAAATTATAATGCAGATGAATGTCATTCTATCATATGGGATCACTTTTCCCTGCTGTATATTACACCACCAATTGGTCACAATGCTCGTGTTAAAAGTCTGAACAGGTTCAAACTAGCCAGTGCTAATGTAAGACTATACTGTATGGTTTTCTGTGAGGGCGTTACATGATGCAAGTGTTAGTCATATTTCAGAGAGGTTCAGTGAAGGTTTCCTAACCGTAAGGATGTTGGAGAGCTGGTTCTTGACGAGGCTCTGGAATTGACCCTGTCCTAGACTCTCCTTCCCCTTGGTCGACTTTATGAAGACCTTCACCATGGTCTGAATAGCAGACTCCATGACTGCTCTCTGTGGGAAAAGGAAGAGGTCAAGACAATGGTGTCAGACAGACAGACAGACAGATAGAAAAAGATAAACAGATAGACAGACAGATGAAAAGATAGATAGACAGACAGACAGATAGATAGATAGAGATAGAGATAGAAAAAGATAGATAGACCATGGCATTAGTGATTAAACGTGTTGCTGCTGCAGCGTGCAGTGAAAGGGAGGAAGTTCCAGGACGGCCTGATTCAAAACACATTGAATCGGCACATCCAGTGGAAAATGAAACAGCGGATCTCCTCGTGTCCCTGCGAGGCCTTTCGTTTCAGGTGTTGGGTCCAGAGCCGCAATAAGGGAGGGCCGGTGACGTGAGATAAGTGGAGAGGGTGAGAGGGAGCCTGATTGAGAGACAAGCTGTGATGCACAATGGAAGTTCTGATCTTTGATAGGTCATCTGATCTACTGAAGCTACCGAGGGGACTGGGCTTCAGATTACCTAAGGGGTTACCTAGTCCCTGTCTGCTCCGCTCTCTCTCTGTGTCTTTCTTTCTCTCACCAGCCGTACCGGCCTCTCTCTTTCAGTGGCACTCTCTCTTCCTTTGCCTGCCCACTGACTTTTCTCCTTCTACAGCCTTCACACCGTTGGACACAAATACACGCAAACACGTCTGACAATGAGGCTTCAAAACGATTTTAAAGGCTTTTGGTACACACCGGCAGCAAATTCCTGCACAATTACTATTTAAGGTAGAAACACAGAAATAAACGTAGATGTCGACAGGTAATCTATAGACATTGCTCCAAGTGTAAAACAAATACCAGGAGGTGACACAGCTCTGCCAGAATTCCATTCATTGCTGTCCGCGGAGATCACTTAGACAGGAATTTACAGGCCAACTCTGAGCTACTTTGCCCCAAAGCAGTGAGAGGATATGTTCAAGGCGACTGTACTCGTCTATCAGCTTCAGTATTCAAATGCCGCAGAGCAAACAATGGTATGCACTAGTGAGAAAAACACACCTTAGATCTGCACACAGGATTTGCCCGTGTGAGCTGAGTGTTATATCTTAATTTCTGAACTGCATATGCCCCCCCCCCCCCCCCCCAAGCAATTTTCTCTACTGCAAGCATACATGCATGCCTGTTTGTCTCATTATATCATGAGAGCTCTGACACCGTAGTATAGACAAGGCCACACGTTTGCATGTAGTAGAGTTAGCATATAGCAGATCTGATTGTCAATACAGTTGTCATTGAAAAATAGGGATGAGATTCAAAAGGGGTTGATTTGACCCCTATACAAAAAAACCCGTCCTTCCTTGTATAGCATGTGTTTGTGTTACTACAGACACAGCACGTGTTTTGTAGGAACTTTAGGGGACTTCTTCCTGCACAGGTGACACACCCTGCTCAGCCAGAGCACACAAAGGCCTTAATAGCTCTCGGTGCGTCCCGTCCACAAATACCAGCCAAAGGCATTTCTTCTATTCTTAGATCGACGTTTCTGTCCATTCTCACATTCATTATTTACCTATGTGGCCATTCTCGAGGTGGTGTTGGCCGCTGGGACAAGAGTCCTCACACAGTGCCCCAATTACGACAAAATGAATTGCATCATTCGTCCCCGAGGACCGGAGACAAACTAATCCCGTTTATTTGTCTTAAAGGGCCCCCGAAATCAAATAATTAAATATACAGGCCTACAACCACAGGTTTCCCGTTTCCCTCCAGAGGAGATGGGAGGATTGCGTTTCCAAACGGGCGAATGTGATACGGTATGTGCGCAGAGTAATGACAATACTACCGCTCGTGTGTGGCATAAAATATTAACAGAGGAACAAGTTCGGTTGTGGCTGTAAATTGCGGTGAGCAGACGTACGTCGGCCGTCTCTCATCCGCCTCCTCGCTGAGGTATGAAAACACGAGACAATTGAAAAGCCGAGCGTTGCGCAACACTATCAATAAAGTTCCCCTCATCAGGACTCATTACCATCAACACCATGAGCTGTTTTAAATATTTAAAGTTGTCACAAACGACACAGCCTCGCAAAAAAAACAAAAAAAAAAAACACGCAGCAAGACAAGCTGACACTCTGTTGCGGTCTGTTTTTATAAAGCATATTGTGCGCAAAAATAATAATAATTGCGCTCTTACGCGCGACCCGGATGCCCACTGGATATATACCACATAAGCTCAATACTCGGTCACCTCAAGTCACTTCAATTTCTCATAGGCTGTTTGCAACTGATCGGCAACCTGACAACTGATCTACGTCAAAATATCAAATATCTTTCCGAGAGACAGACAGGGAGCAATTGGCAATCAAACACCGCCAATAAAACCGTCCATAGCAGCAGAATAACCAACTGTCGCCCTGTAGCCTACTCTACTTCGTAAAAGTGCAACGTGAGCCTAAAAACTTCTGCGGGCTGGAGTCATTGAAACCGTCCTGCATGCAGTCAGACAGCGGCCAGGTTTCATGGGATTGCTCTTGCAAGATTATCGAAACGTGGCAACAAAAAAAATGAACAAACACAATGCTTACACGCAGGAGAAATTTAAAAGAATCCAGAAAGAATCATTCAACTCACCGTATACCGTCTGCGGGACAACTGAAGTGTATAAATGTGCGCGAATTAAGAGTTTCTGCTCTCTTCTCCGCCTTTCTACGTCTCTTTGAGCCCAGAGAACTTGCCAAACTAGTAGGACAGCAGAATCTCTTCCGTGATTTAGTTTTTTTTTTTTTTTCCCTAAAACTTTTCCCCCTGACAAGTCAAAGGGCGTGTACCTGGAAGAGTGAGATGGAGAAGTGGGAACGTGGAAGAGCGCGGCTCTAACTCTCAGGAGAAAAGGGAGTGAAAGTGTATGAAAACACGTATACTTTGTTTTTTAATGTTATGATCTGTGGCTCAGGGGACAGCCGTTTCACGTCATGTGTGATTTGCACGCCAACCAGGCAGGCTTTGTGGCTATAGGAGCGGCTTCAGCGGCGGGGACGAGGAGCCGGGGCGGGTGGGATTACTTCATCTGTAAGGCTCGGTGGCTTTCCAAAGTATTTCACTTATTAAGTGTAGACACAGAAAAACACGTTGAAACCGAAAGCAGTCTATAGCTATCATCCATGATCTTACAATACATTTTAGGGAAGCCACAAACATGAACAAAATCACTAGAAGAGACAGCTCAAACTTTGATTTGAGCTGTGTTGGAGGGCCGAGCTTCTCCCAAATGACACTTTTTTGAGAAACCTGAGAGTAGAAGAATTCTCAGTAAAAATACTAAAGCCGGTGTGGGTGGCAAAAGTGCTGCAAGAGGTAAAGCAGTCTTGCCAGATTCTTGAGAGGGCTTTCAAGTGTTTGTTTGTTTTAAGTCTCACTACTGGTGCTTTTTTTTCTGTGGATAAGTGAGATACAAGCCTCAGGTATCTGGGAAAAGCTCTTGACCGCCCACTAAAGAGACTTCCCTACACAGACAGACAGTATACACAGCCTTTCCTCAATGGTTGCACTGCTCTCATTGTGTCTCACTTTAATGTTGCTGACTCATTCGCCCATCGTCGCTCCTCCCGCACTGGCACCTTAGCATGTGTAATTTGGATACAAAGGTCACATTGTCTTATCTGTTGAAAGATCTGCATTTTTTTTTTTTTTTTTTTTAAATGAGCGAGGAGCACCGTCACTCATTTACAGAATTAAAACGGGCGTGCAGGCTATTAAACATCTGGGGAGCAAGCCAGCAACACACAACACATCAGAATGAACACAGTGACCCTGTAACACCAAGAATGAATAGCTAAACAAGGACAATGCAAATGAAAAGCTCCACATATCCCAAACATAATGGGGTGTATTTGGTCCACACATGCTCGTTACACAGGTCACTGAGGCCTCGGGGACAGACAGTGAAAACCTTGACGCTTGGACAGGCCGCTTTGTACAGGCTTTATGAAGCTCTATGGAACAAGATATGGTCTGGATGGTGTATTTGCGGCGGCAGTAACGCATATAGGATTACAGGCCTCCTAAATAAAGGCTGTAATACACTCCCTCCTGCTCAAATGTGGGTGCCCGGACATCATATAATGTGGTGAATGAATGACAGGAGACAGTGTCGGTGGCTGAGGGTTCAAGACAATGAAGCCTTTTAATTCAAAGTTCCCTCCATTCAAGAAATGGTTAACTAAAGAGTTACACATGTGGCACTGGTGGGGTGATGAAAGCATTCGAATGCCTTTGATTTTACAGTTTGACAGCTTCAACATGGGGTTCGTTGCTGTTGCACAATCTGCTCAAAGCCCACACTGACAGACGAAGGCGGGCTCTCTACTGACTGAAGCCTCCCTGCTTGCTTGCCAGCTTTCCAATCAGCTGCCAGAACTCGGAGAAATTCAGCTCCCCGTCGTTGTTTTCATCCAGCGAGCCCATGAGCTGCTCGATGGCCCCGGGATCGTCGGCGTTCTGTGGGTGAGCACAGAGAGGAAGACCCTGATCACAATGAGATCACCCTGAGCTGCAACATGAACCAGCCCGCTCTGCAAAGACTGTCCTGCCACCTAATGGTTGAGTGTATAGTAACAAATACACTCACTTACAGCCTCACCTAGTTTCCTGATGCTGAAAGCACGTTATTGTGTTTGATTATATGTTGCATATATTGGTGGACAGCACATCACTTACAGTGGTCATTATAAAACATGTATTCAATCACTATATGTTACATTGTGCAATATTTAGCTCTGTGTCTGGCTTATTTTTAGAGGCGCAACCAAACATTACCCTCACATTAATTTGTGACAAATGAGATAATCGGTTAATAAGTTAAGTGATTTGTCAAGTAAAACTATTAAATGTTTGGTAGTTATAGCTCATCAAATATGATATTTGCTTGCTTCCCTTCCTTGTATGCCACTGTAATCTAATTCAATTGTTTACCCAGACAAATACGAAGTCATGTTAATACATTACTGCATGTTGGACATCATAGAATGCTGATTCTATATTACATTTAATATGTAATGGGAAAAGATAACTGGTTGATTAACATAGAAAATGAGCTTCAGCTGCAGCCCTAGTATATTGTTTTGTATGCTGCAGCATGAGACCTAAAAACATGGCACTGAATCAAATACAGAATGAGTCATATGTCTAATGAATCTAACCACAGTAATATATGCGAATCACAGAGCCTGCAGACATGTTGCATCATAAACTGTGCCTTTGATGTGTCGGACAGAAAATAGATAGGAATCAGCAGGCCAAGTGGCTCAGCAGAACTCCATAGATTTACCTTGACATAGTTGGGCAGCTGGGAGGTCACCAGGATGTGGAATTCTTCTTTGCTCAGGGTGCTGGAGGACCCATCTTTCCCAGCGAACGTCTTGAACTGGGTGACAATGGTGCAGATGGCAGCTTCCATGATGGTTCGTGCTGAGACCTGGAGAGCAAACAGAGAATCGAAAGCCTCGACAAATACCTTTCACGCAAGCTACGAGTCCGATTGTGCTGAAACCCAGTGGCTGTGGTCGCTCACCTTTTTGTGTTGAGATGCTGGGTTATGTGTCAGAGCTGGTGCCAAGAGCCTTGTCCCTCCACTCTGACCACCACCTCTCTGAATATATACACTTCATCTCCCTTCTCTGATGCACACATCAGCGGAAAAAACACTCAAACCTGCCCTCTTCTCCCCCATCAAGCAGGCTGGCCTTATCTCTGCCTGATTTCCACTCAAATCTGCACACAGACACAGCTACACACACACACACACACACACACACACACACACACAAACAAACTAGAAAGACTGACACTGTCCTTGAAGGGCAAATTTGTACTGATGATAGCACAAAACCCCTCTCCAGCCCGTTTGCAGAGCAAGGATCTCTGTCAGGCCGTTTTAATCAAGTGACTGAATCAAGCATGCCTTAGCAGTTATTCGTTTATACAAAACATGACTCAAATAAAATGGCATTCAGGACAACACACGTCCGGCGTCTCATGTGCAGCTCTTTCCAATTACAGGAGTCAATGTGTGTGGAAAACGAAAGAAATGGTAACTTTGATTTTACAGCATTTTAATTAAGGACATTGGCGGATGACGGTATGAAAGAACACTGAGGTTTTAGCAAAGCGTTTGGGTATTTTAACATTCTCAAGATTGTCTGTCTATTTTGTAGTTTGATCCATCTGCATCTTAATGCAGGTTCTTTGGAACCAGGTGGAACCAAGAAATCCTGGAGATAAAAAGAACAAAAACACAACATAAAAGCTTGTATGGCGACTTGTAGAATTTAAGGAATGACCATCCCTCTCTCTGCGGTTTCACAGTGGCTGACTGTTCTCAATCATGGCTTACATTCTCGTTCATCAGCGTATCAGGTCAGTGACTCACCGGTTGGTTCGTGTATCACGTACAGGCCGAGAGAGAGTATTTAATCTAGATGTAAATATTTTAGTTCGGTATCATAGCTGCGATGAAAGATGCCTGTCACGCAAACACTTCCACTTCCTGTCAGACAGCAAGTCACACATGTCTGGCTATCATTGTACATCTGACTAAAATAGCTACATCAATACAACCCATTGTGAAGCAGGGGATGTATTCTGTGAGACTGTTCTATTGTCATCATATAATACATGAATCAACTGAAGCGTTTCAATAAAGACAAACTATACACATTTAATGGTGAACAATTTATTGAACTCAACCCTGACTTCCTTACAGAGGACATAACTGATGATGAATGAAAAAATAAATAAAAATTGGCCAAATTTTTCCATACATTTGTCCAAGGATCAATTACATGCACATCTGAGCCAGCTAGCATGAAGCAAGACCTATTGTTGTCCCACAAAGACAGAAATGCTCCTCAAATATCGATTAAACGTTCATGAATGAGATTCATTTAATGACTCATCTGTTGAAATTGAGCCTTCTTCCAATAGCTTTGGTGTAAAAGAAAGTTCAAAATAAAACTGTTCCTCTGTGCAAACAGCGGAGGACATTGAGCAGAAATCCCTCCAACACTTCCTATGTAAACCCTGTGACATTCAGTCTGTCCTATCAACAGCAGTCAAATTGCAAGCTGTGTAAACTTGTTTTCTTCTCTATCTTGCAGAAGCAAATTAAATCCTAGACCCCTAAGATATTCACAATGATAATAATAAAAGGCACATAAGCAGTAGCTGGCAAATTAAATTTCGGAAAACAAACTGAAAACGTCACCATTTCCACATTCGACGTGTCTGGCCTGGGGTCAAAGTCTCGTTAGAAAGAAGGAAAAGAGGTGCAGTGTACCGACAGAATAAATAAACATGAAACACTCCAAAGCTTCTCTCAATCACTGAAAAATGAGAACCAACAATCACATTCTGTCGACTTTAACTTCACATCCGCCTAAAAACGTCATGAAAGGAAAAGGACGAGAATAAAATACTAAACCAAAACAAGAACTCAAAGAACTAGCCAACGATGGAGAGCAGTTCTGCAATACTTAATACACTTTGCTTTGTATCCGTTTTTTTTTTTTTTAACTTAACCTTTTTCAACTTAAAATTGAATAAACATAATGCAGCAGCATCCTAATTTTTTCCATTTTTACTTAATTACTTGTGCATGTCAGTTAATATCAACCTGCTGACAAAATAAGAGGAAAATGGAAAATAATATAAATAGCGGTTTTGGTCGGTCTAAAAAAAACACAACAGAGAAAAAGAATTTTGCTGTAAATGTGATGTTTTTGAAAAGTGCTAAAGTGGTTTAGCCGTCCTTTAGATTGAGCTACTATAACTTTGTCCTATTGCTTTTCCTTCTTAAGCAGCGCTGACCTTTCCCAAACAGTTCCTGGTTGTTCAGCACTTCTGCTGACAACTGACAGTTGGGAGTTGGGGGTTGAAAAGCCTGTCGTAGCTAGACGCCGAACGCTCAGGGCACTCAAACGGCACCCTTTGTGTGCGTTTGCCCAAAACTACTAAAGAGCTGCAGATGCAAAAACTGGTCTGACCCGATCTGATTTTTGTCTCTGAAAGAAGTGGGATCTCGTCCTCTGGGATTGAACTTCAGGCAAACGTTGTCTGCAGAAACAGTCTCAGCATTTGTTGTTTTAACCTGCTCGGAGAAGCGGCAGGTTGATTTCACACAGTCAAATGACAGAGAAGCATTTAGCGGCAACACTCATATAATATATGAATTATATGAATATATGTAACCATTGCTCAACAGAATAATGTGTGCAAATACCATCTCCTTAAAGCCCTGTCTTTTTGTGTGTGTTCTAAATATTATCAGGCTGAATTTAAATGGTGAACTGCAACATGCACTACATATTGAGAAAACACTATACAGCAGAGGAAAAAACAAACCCACACAACACATTACTGAAGGACTTTGCATTAGGAGGCATGACCTGACAAGTACAAGTCTAGCTTATGATTAAAGACTGAGCGGGACACGTTTATGAGGGGCACGACCACTCTGTGCCAGAAGCCACTACAATTACAGCTCTGAAGAGGAGAACGTAGGCAAGAAATGTCGTATAAAAACACCATTTGTGCTGTATCCTAGCGTTGTATTTCACTCCTTTTTCCCCCCCTCGATGTCTACTTAAACTGCGGCTGCAAACTTCCACAGGGCTTCTCGTTCAAACTCCTCCATCTCCTCCTCCAGGGAGTCGTCGTCGTCCTTGTGCCCGCCGCCCTCCACAACGTCCACCATGTCCTCCAGAATGTCCGCCACGTCCTCGACAAAGTCTCCGAAGAGAACCCTGTCGTGGATGAACCCGCCGTCCTCAAAGAACTCTGCCGTCAGCTTCCTGATCTTGTCTTTGCTCTCGGACGAGGATCCTTCCAGCTTGCTCAGGTAGCCCTCCAGCAGTTCCTCAAACTCGGGCAGCTCCACCGGGTAGAGCCCCTCCTTGCCGGCGCAGTCCTCCACGGAGCTGCAGCCCAGCTGGGGGCGGACGTTGCGCCTGAGCTTCTGCTCTTGGTCCCTCCAGAAGTCGTTGTGTTTGTACGGGTGAGGCTGGCGGGGCTGCTGATGGTGGTGGTGCTGATGGTGGTTGTGGGAGTTCTTAGGAGGCCCGCTGTGCTTCCTCCTCTCCTCTCTGTCTATTCTGCGCTCGTCCTTCTTCTTCTCCCACTCGTCCTGGTGTTTCCTCCACGCCTCTTTGTGAGAGTTTTGCTTCTGAGACTTCCGCTCCTTCTCTTTCTTCTCTTCTTTGTCTCTCCATCCTCCCTCTTTGCTGTGCTTCCAGCCTGTCTCCCCTCTCCCCTCTTTCTTGTCCTCTTTCTTCCAGTGGTCCCACTCATTGCTTTTGCCCTTGTTCCCTTTCCATTTGGACTCCTGTGGCTTCCTCTTACCCCACTGCTCAACTTGTTCAGAAAGCTTCTTCTGGATTTCCTCCAAACTGTCCCTCACGCGTTTCCTGTCGCCTCCATCTTTCTTCATCCCTTGCAGCCTCTTCTTGCTCTCCTCCAGAAGAGCTTTCTGCCTCTGGAGTTCTTCCTTCAGCTTTCCTCCCTCATTTGTGTCCTTCCTCCTCTCAAGTTCAGGAGCTTTCTCGTTACTCTGACCATCTTTGTCACCCGGCTGAGGGGCGGAGCTTGAGGTTTCTTGATCGGCTGTGAAGGATTCAAGATATCAAAGTTATCATGGGTTTGCAAGTTATATTAGAAAGGTCAACAGATCAGCACAGATATGGAATCCATTTTTATATCACAGTACCTATCTATATGCATTGTCATTTCAATAAATAATTACTGAAATCAAATTGCAACAGCACAGATTTCATTCAAGGATAGACTTCATGTTCGTCCCATCCTACCTGAGAGCTGGCTGAGTTCGGTCACCCTGGACCTCAGACTCTCCAGCTCTTTCTTCAGCTCAGGCAGAGACAACAGCTCCTCCTTCAGCTTGACATTTTCTCTTTCCAGATCTGCTTCACCCTTTTCATCACCGCTCACTGCTACGGCCTTCAGCGCCAAGTCAAGTCCTTCTTTCTGAGACTAAGAAATAAAGAGAAATGGAGACATTCCCAATGCAGACAAGCGTCCCAGTCAGAGCCAGATCGTGCACATCTTGGGACAATAATCCAAACTGTTTGTAGAAAACATGCTGTGTATATATTGCATTGCATTAAAACACCATGAAAGGGTAAAACGACATCATTAACGTCAGTATAACTGGTATACTGACCTGTAGTTGAGCCTCTAGCTGAGCGATCTGCTGGTTTTCCTGTGTCAGTTTATCCAATAGCTCTTTCATATCCTGTGGATCACCGCTAAGCCAGTCCTGGATCGAAAATCATTGGCAAATGAATAAAACACATATTTTGAAATAATCCCATCTTCAGCGCGGGTCTTTTAAGTTTTAAGACTCAAGTTTTCTTAAATACTACAGTGTAGCCACAGATGTCGAGGAACAGACCTGGTTTTGTTCTCCATCACTGAGTTCAGAGGCGTCAAAGTCACCTGTCAGATAAGAAAACACATCTTTCACACAGGTCTCACAACAGGAACTCCTATTGACACACAGCTGACAGGCTGTCTTACAACCGTAACAGATGCTTTTGTTGTGAAGTGCACTCGATGAGCTCAGGCACTACCTGTACACAGAAGCTATTCATTCAAAAAAAAAACAACAGTGTGAGATATTTAGCCTGAACAAGCAAATTGCCAGGAGTTTCCCATCAACTGAAGCACCATAAACATCCAGGGAGTCCTTTAAATCGTGATGACGGGTGTTATTGTACAATTCAGAGTGCGTTTTAGCTGTCATTTTCTGCTGTCACTGCATGAAGTGTCAGGCCAGATAAGCGCTTGGACAAGCTATTGAGCGTTAGGTCCAGTACTAAGACTAGCTGGCTACCATTATGCAGGTCAGAGAGCAAACCTGTTGACGTAGTACAGCTTAGTCAACAAGATCTAAAAACAGACATCCGTCTACGGCAGACAGCTGCCAATTAATGGGCTTATGTAATTCGTAAATAATGTCAAATTAGCAAATGTGTTATGATTTATTGACAATATTTTCAATAAAACTCTGATGTAACAGGGGTGAACAGGTGTACCGTTCCTAAGATAACATAAGCAGATCTATCAGGTAATGAATATTATTAGCATGATCTCAATCTTACTGTTCATGACGGTAAATGTGAGCAAAAGTAGTGCCTCCTACTGCATCGGACTGTGAAAAGCAGAAGCAGGCCAGCAGGCTTAGTGATGGGCGAGAGGAACTCACCAGAGAGGAAGAGGGAACCTAAGAAGAGCAGGATCAGAGAGCCCACAATGCATTTGTTCAAGGAGAACCATGGCTTTTCCTCCCTCTTCTCCGCCAGCTTGAACTCCACTTCCTCTTCATCGTCTTCCTCATCGGATGTTCTTGGCCGCGGTGACCCGAAGGAAGGGGCATTCCTCCTCCTCAGTCCGTCTCCAGAGCTGCCTGTGTCGCCCGGATCGAAAGTGTTGGATGTTTCTACAGGAGGGAGAATAAATGAGAGGAACGAGAACATGCCGAGCATGAAACGCTAATGGCAACACAGCAGAGGGTCGTCACATTTCATAGTGTGTTCTTGAGAAAGATGATGGCGCAGAGCCTAAAGTTAAACCACATGTACTCAAATTTGGCCCGGAGTCACTCCAACAAATCATCTCTGCATCTGTGGCTACAAATGTGTCGTAAAACCGTAATTATCTCCTGGCAGACTGCCTCACACAAAATACCAAAACATAAGTGAATACATGAACCGCATGACACCACGGTGTGTAAACAGTTTGTGAAAAAAAACAGACCAAAAAAAATAAAGAGTCGGTGCTTGCTCGTGGAAATGGATGACATTTTCTCTCTAAATTACAACAACAGTCATTTCATGCATGGGGGGTTTCTTCATTTTCTCAGCGGGGTTTACGCCTCCCTGTCGTACTGATGAATCGTTTTCCAGATGCTAGCTTGACACAGATAAGACACATGTTAACCAAATCTGCTCCAAAAGGACTCTCGTTTTCTGTTTCTACTGACTGGTGCTAATTGCAAAGAGCCACCAACCGCTTACTTTGCTCAAGGCTGCGTTACCAGCGAGGCCCAAGACCTCCCAGGGGCCCACAAAACCACCATGTTCACTGCGCTGTGGTCGGTTTATGGTAATATGACAAAGCATAACTTTGTTTGGGGATAAGCATGACTAAAGCATAATATAAACTGGAATGATAAAACAGATCCTGCTTTTATAACCAGACATCGAGGGCCTGTCCTGAAGAGGAGGCCTGTGTCGAGATCTAGATTCAAGGCCTCATTTTTTCAGCCGATGTTGTGCTTATACGGTGCATATTCTTAAATCAGTTTGTCTTTAATCATATTGCCACACAGCATATCTGTGGCCATGTGTTATTCCAGCAGAGAGAAGCTGTACACAATGCACAGAGAATGAGAGGAATGGGAGTTATAGGGAGCCAATCAGCAGATTCTGGCTAAATAAAGGTGAAATTAAAATTAAAAAAAAAAAAAAAATCTACTTTACTTCAGAACTCTGCTGTTCATTTCCAAAAGCTAACTTCTTTAACTACCTCTAAATTCTCTCCTGCAAAATAAAGATCACTCTGGTTCCACTGCGGGATTCGTCATGCATACATCATCACACATATTCCTGTAGATTTATCCCATACCTTGCACTTCTTCTTCTTCTTCTTCTTCTGCTTCTTCTTCTGCTTCTTCTTCTGCTTCTTCTTCTGCTTCTTCTCTCTCATACTGGGTCACTGCCTCGGACAGCTCCATCTCCTCCTTTCCCACAGCCGCCACCTCCATCTCCTCCTTTCCCACAGCCGCCACCTCCATCTCCTCCTTTCCCACAGCTGCCGCCTCCACCTTTTCCACAGCCGCCACCTCCACCTCCATCTCCACCTTTTCCACAGCCGCCACCTCCACCTCCATCTCCTCCTTTTCCACAGCCGCCACCTCCACCTCCTCCTTTCCCACAGCCGCCACCTCCACCTCCTCCTTTCCCACAGCCGCCACCTCCACCTCCTCCTTTCCCACAACCGCCACCTCCACCTCCTCCTTTCCCACAACCGCCACCTCCACCTCCTCCTTTCCCACAGCCGCCACCTCCACCTCCATCTCCTCCTTTCCCACAGCCGCCACCTCCACCTCTTCCTCTACTGAACCAACAGTCTCTGGTGCAGGGCTATCATTGATGGGGCTCTCTGTCACCAGGCTCTCTGGGACTTGGCTTGGTGGCTCTGTACTCTTTGGTACGAAGCTGATATCAGCATCGCCACGAGACAGAGGATCAGTAGCTGTAAGGGTGTCTGTGGGGTTGATGACCTTTGGTGCAGCAGCGGAGAAAGGATTCAAGCAAAATGCATCACACTCGTCAACCTCTTCTTCTGTAGCGGCGTGGATCTCAGTCAGAGGAGGAGTGGAGCACGACTCCTCAGGCTCAGCTGTCAGGAGATCATCTGCAGCAGGAATATCGAACGGAGCCCCGGAATCAATGTTGGTGACAAAGGGCGTGGCTCCGAGGTGCTCATTGTCACTCGGGGAGCTGGTTACGATGTCATGGATGACTGGAGGCTGACTCTCCGGGTCCAGGTCTAAAGGATCGAGGAGGTTGGGTGGGAGGGGACTCATCCGGGTTGGACTAGACGAGCTGGGACCCTCAATGGACTCTGGAGAGGTCTCTTGACACACCTAGAAATAAGGAGAAGATATCTGTGAACACTTTGATATCATCTTTTCTCTGTGAGGTTTATTGCAATCAAGGTGTTATTTTGTGATAAAGTGCTACGATTTAGTTTTTTAGCGCATCCATTTTCCCTCAGTCTGTATTGTGTACAGTACTTCTCCATCATTTAATGACTTCCTATGTTGCCCAGAGTGACGGTTTCAGGAGAATAGGTCTCTACTTCTCAAATTATATATTGAGAGTCGGCATTGGGCGTGGCAAGACTGAGGCAGTTTTCCTGTCACCGAACTGAAAATTCATCACATTCTGCTGAGGCTACTTTCAGTGCATCTCCACTGCTCATATGACACATTTCACCCCGTGCGGTTCTTCAACACGGGTGCAAAGTGCTAAATGTAGAAGGAGCTTATTGATTCTGAGGAACTGGCAACAAAGTTGGGTTATATAAAGTTGCTGTTACAGATCTCAAAAGTGTTGTGTGAAACTCGTCTGCACTTATACTGGAAATGAATATTGTCACATTGTCTGTTTGTGGGCCGTAAGCAAGTACATTCATACAAAAACAAAAAAAATGCAATAAAACTTTACCAATATCAGGCTATAATAATGTAAATATGCTGTGGTGGAATTGAATTTATGCCTCGTCTGGTTTATTGCACAGTTTATTGTGTACCAACCTGATGGCCTTCTTCAGACAGGACAGTTTCTACTGGAATGTCGCTTGCAGCAGCTCCTGAAACAACATTCACAAAATGTTAACACTAAAATATCAATCCAAAGCAACCTTTTTCTGCCTGAAATTTGGATTTATGTCACACCCCTCGCCAGGAGCCACAGCTCTTGACTCGTCAATACCTGTCACATCCTCGGAGAGACTCGGGACGTCACCCAGGCTCTCAGTGCCGTCATCTACCGGCCCGACGTTCTCAACAGCAGCCTCCTGTGGAGCCAGACGATCCAGGGAGATCAAGCTTCCTACAGACTTTTACATTAACGCCTACAGTGCTCTCGTTACATACACTGCCCTTGACATTTACAGCAACTTCTATACAGGCATGCATGCACAGCATAACGCAATAAATACTGCATACACATACCACATACTCCTATAACCTTGATAAAAGGTACAATTTATGGCGTGGATGTTGTATAAGAATGAACCCAACAAACTAGAACATTTAATGTATTTTGATAACTGAGGAGGATCTTCTGCCTTATACAAAACATGTTGTCCTCAATGCGCTGTCTTAACACAGACATACAGCCATGCACAAATACGTGCACAAAGAGTTAAAACACATCTGCCACACATGTATCACTGTGGGAAGCTCAAGGGTGCAAGTGCAGACATGCCATATTTTAAATTAACGGGTATTTATGAGCAAAGGAAAACAACTATCCTCCAAATTATAACCAGGCATACAGAGCTTCATGTTCCAGTTTCCTGAGCTGGTTCTCCGTCATACCTCGGGGGAGAGGAGGGTCCAGCTGTTGGTTGAGGAGCCGCTGCTGCCTGTGCTGCTGCTGTTGTCAGACATCGCCCTCGTCAGGCTCAACTTGGCACAGCACGGTGCAGACTCAGCGTTAGGGTTTTCTGCAGACGACGACAGAAACAACTCAACTGATTGAACATGCCTGATGCATTCACTGTGCATGCCTCCTGGGAATCAACATCATCCAGATGTAATAGTCTTGACTGTGTGTGTTTGTATCGGTAGGCCAACAGTCAGAATTATAGGTATGCACCGTCATGGACATGAAAATACACACAACATGACAAATTGTGCCTCATTGCGTGTAATATTTTGATGGCGATCATGCAAATTGTAGTCTAAGAGGACATAATGACGCAATAACGTTGGAGTTTGGGAGCGACTGCAGCGCACACACGGGATAGAGACCAGACTGTCGGTGGTACAAGTTATGTAACGGTGTGTTGGCATCCATAATATACTGCTGCGCAGTTTAAAAAGAGGTCTCAGAAGAAATAGGAATCTCCGGATTGTTTTCACCACCGCTGCTATTTCCAGCCAACCGTTCATTCAGATCCGTCCTGGCCAGTCAATCTGTGACCGACAACGGTCCCCCCGCCGTTGATCCAGACACGCGCACACAACGGTTAATACTCACGTGTCGACAACACTATGTGCGCAACAGCTTCTGTTTAGCACATATGGGAAACACAGTAAAGGGGCTATAGTTGTAGCAACCAAATTCAGTGTTCACACAAAATGGTAAACAAAGGATGGTCGGCTGAATATTCCCACTCCCACTCTTCCGCGTTCTCACAGGCCCCGCTGTTCGCGAGCGCTTCACACACCTGCTCGACTACGTCACATTAAACACAAAGAAGACGTTTTATTTACCCAACTTGTTTACACCTCAGTCGCTCGCAGTTTTTTCCCCCTTCAAAACGTTTAGTTTTTTAGTATGAACAACGCTCCTCTCTTCCCGTGAACTTGGGAACTTTGGGAATTCCAAGCTGCGTCACGTCGCCCCCAAGGCACTTTTCGTCCAATGGAATTTCAGCAGAGGCTGCGGAGCTCCCGCCCCTGAACCGAGGCTGGACCAATCGGAGAGAAGTGGGATGTCAGGAAAACGACGCACAGCCCCGGCTTGATTGACGCCCGCAGGTGAAAGTGGCAGGTGATGAGCACAGATCCGTCCCCTGGTTTTTAAGAATACAACTTCATGTGTGAGCCGAACCCTCAAGATGCATGCGTGTGCATCTATATATATGCAGCAGGGAGGGGCTGCTGGGACCAGCCGCACACTGACACGTCTGCACAGCTATATTTGAACTGCGGTACTTACCAAGGTGGATAACCCCGCTACTCCGATTGCTGCAGTGTAGCCATCAATTTCATCATCTTGCTCCCGTTTTCTCTAAAATTAGAGTCTGTAAACTGTTATGTCTGTGAAAGGCACATTTTGACACCTGTGCATATATCTGAAATCTAAACCTACACAAACAGAGATAATTGGAATCTGTGGTTTCAGATATTTATTATTATTATTTATTTATTTTATATGTAGATTGCAGTGGTGAAAGAAGGACTTAAATCCTTTACTTCAGTAAAATAACTAACACAACCACAGTGTAAAACTACCCATAAATGAAAGTAAAAAGTAAAAGTATGGCCTCTAATTATATCATATAATATTGTCTTATTATGATGCAATAATGTGAAAGCAGAATTTTCAATAGTTGCCTGTAGCCAGCTCATGAGTGACATGGAATTATTGGATGTTTTTATTCCTTGTGCTATTATTACACAGCCGCAGACTGTCAACTTTGATGAGCATTTTATTTTATTTCATTTTAGAAATAAGCTTTTAAATAGTTTATGATAAATCTCATGTTTGCAACGGGTAAAATGCATATATGCAAACATGCCCTAGATTTATATTTCTATCTGTTTGAAATTAAGTTTTGTGTATTATGGTAAATTAATTAAGACGTTTCATCAATAGATCTACAGTCATATTTGAGAAGTAAAATGGAGGTCATTCATCGTAGCTGCTCTGGAATATATCACCCTTTTCTCTCTCCTTGCTTAATATATAAAACATGGTGCAAATGGATGTAGGCTATTAAGAGAGATAGAACTAAGAATTTAGATGTCTTATAATAAATCCACAGCCAAAAAAAGAGACTAGAAATGTACACATGATAATACAGTAAAATGATGTGGGTCACCGGTTATGCAATGACATTAAAAGTATGGGATTTTTGGATTTGTGTTGCATACCTTCAGGAAGGTTTTTTGCTACTATGGGTACTTCTCAAGTCTCTTAATTGCATCCCCGTTTCCCTCACTTGGGTCCTTTCCTTGCGTCTTAGTCCCTCCCACCAGGGATGCATGGAGGAAACCACGCGAGGAGAGAGGAACCAGGAAACGACAATTAAGAGACTTGAGAAGTACCCTATGCTGACCAGAAGACCGTGTAGCGGTTACGACAATTTCCTGCGACACATGGAACAGACCAATGGCAAGAGAGTTAGCCGGATGTCTTCACCAATGGGACGGGACGGGGTCGATTTGAACGGTGAAAAGCGGGCTAGCAAACATTCGAGAGGGAAACAAAGAGGGAAGAACATCCTGCAACTGCTGGACCTAAAACAAACTGGAATAATTAGCTTTTTCTACTCAGGATACTTAGGCAATCAAATAAGGTAACTTTGAAGCCCCGTTCATGGCGTCACACTTTAGTAGAAACTAGTTGTGCGTTTGCGTAACTTGTCAGAGATAACGCTTGTTCTCGGCTAACTTGGGCGACGTTAGCTTAACCGTTAGCCACACTCGCTTAGCAATGCAAGCTAAAACTTGCTGTCACGTTGTCCACGAAACGACATATTTTTGATCCTGAATGTCCACTAATGTTAGAAATCTTTCCAACAGGGCTCCGTCATGTCTCACAAACAGATCTACTACTCTGATAAATATGACGATGAAAAATACGAGTACAGGTGTGTATGACTCATGTTTATCCAGCTTCACATTGACTCTGCCAGCGTGTCACCTTATTTTATAACTGTTTTCGCGAGCTGACATCGTGCAAAACCTATCCCCCAGTTGTGGAACATGCCACGTCATAGTCATTTTGATCTGATGCATTCATCTTATGTTGTTGTCCGCCCTCGATTTCTACAGGCATGTAATGCTACCCAAAGACATTGCAAAGCGTGTACCCAAGACCCATTTGATGTCGGAGACTGAGTGGAGGAACCTGGGGGTCCAGCAGAGCCAAGGATGGGTCCATTACATGATCCACCAGCCAGGTATTCCATCTCGTTTCCAGGGATCATGTCACAATTAATATGCAGCTGCAAAGCTTTGTGATCAAGTGAGAAAATGGGATTCTGATCTCGAGAACAATGTTGACGTTCAGCAAAAGTACTTAAAGTGTAGATATTTGAGCGTGTTTTGAATCAGCTTCTGTGCCGGGTAATTATGTGACTGCAGTGCACACTAACTCTATGAGCAACAGTTGTGTTTTACAGTTGTCATATGCTGAATATGTATTAAAAATAAGTTATGATCAGAAGCTGAAACTAACCGGCACATGACACAATGCTGATGACTGATATGTTGCTAGCTTGCATTTAACTGAACTTCTCTTTTGTGTTGTGTAGTTTATTTGAAAGTTGAAGCTTCTGTTTCCTGTAGGCCTGCTTTGCTTCAGCTGGTACAGTTGCAGATGAGATGATGAGCTCATTTTGATGTGTTTCAGGCAGAAGATGAGGGATGCAAAGTCTGTAGGGGGGGGGGGGGGGGGGGGGGGGTCTGTCTGTCTATTTTAAAACAGGTCAAGTTACAACTTTTCTTTTTTTTAAGGAAGGTAAACCTTTTTTAACATATTTGGTGAACAAACATATGGACGGCAAGTGTCAAACCAAGCCACACCCTTCTATTAAAAAAAGAATGGGAGTCATGTTTCCCCAGAAGAATCACAATAAGTATCATTATCTCTGTTTTACATACGTTGTTCTTCCCTCCTCCAGAGCCACACATTTTGCTGTTCCGGCGCCCTCTTCCCAGCCAAAAGGCATAAAGGGGGGGAAACTCCGAGTCCCTGGAAGATCAGTCCTACTTGCCACAGATCGACTCATCAAAGCGGAGATCATGCTGTCAAATTACCAAACTCTAGTGTGGTAGGTGACTTGTGATTTGGGTTGATCATGTTGGACCCGAAGGACAATGACATTGATGAACAGTGGTTGTGGAATGCAGTATGCGTTGAAGGAAAAAAAACCAATTACCCTCCCCTTCGGGGAAAAAGACTTCATGTGATAACAGCGACTCGTCGTCTGCCAGAAAACCTTCAAATCAGCTTACACTGTCTTTTTGACTCAAAAAATCTGTCAAACTTGCTGAACCTGCTTGGATATTCCAGCTTTTTAGAACAATTGTTAAAAGATGTGGGGAGTGAAACTTGTTGAAATGTTTGAGTGATTTCTTAGGGAGTGTTTTTCTGGGTCAGGCTCCGGTCACAAGCCAGACAGAACAGCTGGATCCTAAATGCAAGTTTGACTCTGAAAAACATTGAAGTGCGGCTTTAAGTGACATGTTGCTGCTTGGTTTAAATGATACTGTAAATTGGCATTTAACACTTTTTGTCATGTACATGAAAAGCCGCATAGATGAGTCCCCCCCCCCCCCCCCCCAATAATAGCATATTCTAATAGTTTTGGCCTACTTTAAAAGAAATCCTCTGGCTGGCTCTGATTGTACCAGTGAGCTGCTCAGTATTTATGAATGTGTTGCCCTTTCTGAAATAAATGGAAACTTTTAAATCTTTGCTTTGGGGCCACAATACAGAGCCGTTTGACACATCATGAACAGCATGTTTAAAAAAAAAAAAAAAAAAAAAAAGACTGGGGGAGGCGGTTGATGGCAGACACTACCCGAAAAAGCTCTTACAGAAAAAGAATCTCGACCATTGACTGGGACGCTGGAAAGCCGATAGCATTTGTTTCAGATTGTGGTGTTGAATACGATTGCTTTCAGGTGCTTGTTTTCACTGTCCTACTCGTCCTGAATACTTGCCCCCCCCCCCCCCCCCGACATGTCTGTGTTTACCATCTGTCTCTTGTGTTCTTTACCACCACATACTGAGCTGCTCTGCTGTCACTGAGGCTACATCTTTGCCTATGAACTTGTGCCTTGTGTGTAAGGTTCTTTTTGTTCACTATATGACTGAATTTGTTTTTATGATGTGTAGGTATAGCGCTGTTCTACCCTCAGAATTATTGAAAGAATCGATGCAATCAACGTGATGATGCATTTAGTCTTTAAATAAAACAACTGGCAGGAAGTCCTGTGTTGGATGACACCTCTGTACCTTTTTTGGTAATCTGGAAAATAACAATTAGCACAGTGTGGAATTGATAATGTCCCATGTTGAGCTATAACTATATATGTGGCTGCATCAAAATGGAAATATTCACACAACATTGTTCTCAATAACACCTATTTTTCAGCACTATCAATAACTTAAAGTGTGTATTCCATCATGTATTGCGGTGCAAACACGAATCCACCAGATGGCAGGATGACATTCTTAAATACACTGTTGCTCTTCACTGTTTCCTGTCTGTCAACCTGTAAAATACAAGGAAACTGCCACAAAACAATGCACACAGGAAATGTGACTGTACACAATGTTAAAGCTATGTGAAACCTCCAGTACCTGGTGATTCTGTACCGTTTCTGCAGCCTAGACCAGACCCCAGTCATTGAAGCCATTCATAGGAAATAAAACTGCTGAAGAGGTCTGTCTGTTTACAAGTACGGCTGCTTTGATTCATTCTCGGCTTCAACACAGCTCCGCATGCGTGTTGCGCTAAGCGTGAGCCTAAACCGCGCTGTAAAGTTGCCATGTGTATGATAATCAGGTGTAGGAGCTTATCACCTCACCTTGTGTAGTGTAATGTAATGAGCCCAGCTGGGATAAAGGTGTGATCAGACAATATGCGCTGGGATGTATGCCAGACAGCACGCTTAATGGATATGTGATGTTATGATGCACAGTTGGTTTTCATCCAGTGGCACAGTGATGCTGCATATGTTGTCTGGCACCGTGACTTGACTCGTGTGTTTCTTATTAGTTGCCCATGATATTGCCAATCGTAACAAGTCCGTGGTCCCTCGTTCCTTGTGCGATGTGGGTGGTCTCTACCGGCGAATGTCTCTGAGCTTAATGGACAGAATGTTTCACTGAACGGGCAAGTTGTTATGATGGCGTACGTGCATAAAGGGAGAGGCAGGCGCAGCATCTGCCGCACATTTAAAAAGTTACACCGAGTATATTATTGCTCTGCACAAGTTTTAATGAGCAGGCAACAACAAAAACAGAGGTTGGGTAATTCAGAGGCTGTTTATTTTAAAACGGGATTCAGCTCTCTGTAAATTCTGTTGTAAGACAAATCACATAAAGTTGCCTGTGCCCTTGATGTTTCTTTAAGTTCTCTAAGAACTAACTTTAGCTGCACTGTGGCAAACAACTCGTTACATAAACATGACACCAGTTACAAGGGAAGGCGTTGTGGTTACTGTTAGATCTGCAACCAGCTTTCTTTTTTCTTCATTATCAATGAATGTGCTGATTATTCTCGATGAATCATTTGGTCTACAAAAACGACCCAAGTTAACCTGGTTACCTCTTTACATTACACCGTACAGCATGTAGAGACAGGCTATATGAATATCATGAATTAACTGCATGAATATGTCTTATATAGACTCATCTTTTCTGGCCTTGTGGTCATTTAAAAAAAAATGAAGCTCGTTATAGAATAATTTGGGTACAATGTATGAGAGAGCATACTAATAAAACCTTAAGAGTAGGATGCGCCGTATTAAAACAATCTTGAAATCCAACAATGTATAATAATCCATCCATGGAGCTTCTGGTGTGGTGTTTTATTATTGAGCAGTGTGACTGAAAATTGCAGTTTGGGCTCATAGAATATTTAAATCAGAGAAAACGTCTTGTTTGCCAGCGTGTCCAGTTGCCTTACAGGCTAAAAAAAGACGAACGATCAAAGTTAGACCAAATATAATCCTTTCAATGCAAAAAAGGAAATTCCCCCGTCAAATACAGAAGGATGTCAAAAACATAGAGCACAAAAAAATGCCTCTGCTGTGACAAAGTTTCACACTTTGGACTGCGGAGGGCAGTGCAGCACCACTGAAAAATGAGACGATCTACATTCATTCAGTTGGCTTTTTGCTTCAATGCTGCCTGGACCACAAAATGTAAAAATACTGTGAATGACTCATGGTTACATTTAGACTGAATCTGCACTTTCTCTTATTCTGAAAGCCATTTCTATAATGTGTCGCTGGTCTAATCTGACAGTAGCATATGGGGTTGTAGTCCGTGTGTCCCAGATGCACACAGACCAACGGTGGGTGCAAACGGGGCTCACGGCGACAGTCAGACACCGTGGGGTAGTAACCGCACAACTCTGGAAGTCGGGGGTGATGGAGGGAAGAAAATGTTTTGTGAATCAGAGAGATTTCTCAACAATTTCTGTGAAAATGCTGCCGAGGTAATCACTGGGCTGTGGCGGTCAGCAATCTGAGCCTCCTGCTGAGAACCAGAGATGCGTGGTGGGCAGAATAAGATGTTTGACTCCTGACGGTGGAAAAAAGCTTGAGCGTCTGCCAGATGAATCATGCTGAAAATGGGTTCCTGTTGGAATCTTGAAGGTAAACAATAACCTAAATCTGTAGGTGTATTTACAGAATAGCTATAGGTGCAGCAAAGTCATGGACCGGTTTATCAGGCCGATGACCTATGATTGAAAATCAGCCGGCTCGTATTATTCGCTTATGACATTATCACAGTGTTCATTTTCACAGAGAGGTTTTCAGTGGTGTTCAGCGGATGTTTCACTCTGAATACTAATCTAAGGCTGCAACTAACAATTGGTTCCCTTATTGATTAAGCATCAGATTATCGTCTCAGTTAAATAATTCATTGTTTGGCATTTCCTGTATTTTCTGATATTTTATAAACCAATTACAATCTTGTCAAATCAGACAAAGAAAAACAAAAGCCTTGCATCTGAGTGCTGACTCTTGTGGATATTTGGCATTTATGCTTGGAAAATGACTAAAATTAATAAATACAATTGAATTAATAGAAAAACCATTTGAGAAGGGAGACTCCTCATCCCTTGTTTTTGTTTCAGCTTTCTAACGTGTGCATATGCCGCCTGTATGATTTATTAAAGTATTTATTTTACATACGGTCTGAAAGATATCTTAGCTTTCGTGAATTTTGCTTTATGACACGTCATTTTCATTTCCTGTCAAAAATCTGTCCGTGTTGTTCTTTACCTGTTCTGTTGTCTGAATAAATCATGTGAACCTGTCGGTCACAAACAGCCACACCCTAAATTGGACCATAACTTACTAATTAAACATGTTATTGAAGAAGACTTAAAACTAGCCATTGAGACCATAAACTCATGTTTACAGAGGTAATAAATCAAGTGAGAAATAGATTCATTGTCTCTTCTATACAGTCAGACTTATTTTGCACCCAGAGGAGTCGCCCCCTGCTGGCTGTAAAGAATGCAAGTTTACGGCACTTCCGCATTGGCTTCACTCTTCAGACACCGAGGTTGCCACCTGCATCTACCTTAATTAATTACCCGGCTAGCACGTGGCCCAAATCAAGCACACCTGCAATGCTGCGTAGCATCAGGTGCATGCTAGGTCTGGCTAACGTGCTTAATGCTAACAAGCTAATGGTGGTGACTTTTGTGTGTGTGTGTATGAAGGCTGTGCAGCTCTCTTCATACTTTAATATGTGTGTTGAGGCTGCAGCCGCTGTGCAGTTTATAACACATCTCTGTTGTGTCTGTCTTGGTGGTGTTTTATTCTGCTGTTAATTCTATAATAAGCTCGAGGCTTTTTCCAGTTATGCATCTTAAACAAGGCTTGTGTGGTGTCCATAGACTTTTTATTACTGTCGTCCATTTTCGTTTAATTGTCTGAGTTTTGTCCTTTTTTTCTTTGGTTAACTCTTGTATGGTGGTTGTATTTATAATTGGTAATCAGTTGTATACACAGGCTGCAAAGGGCCATCGATTTAATTTAGTTTTGGTTTGAACACAAGGGCTCCTGCTGTTAAGCTCATGGCTGCTGCTCTCTGCACTGCTCTCATATGGCGGTTGCAATCTTGGCCTTCGTAGCCCCCCCCCCTCAGGTTAGCGCTGTTAGCATCGTTATCTGCAAGCTGCCTTTTAGAATAAACAAGTAATAAAGCTTGAAAGACATTTTAATTTACATTTTGGAGGCTGTGCATGCAAAAAACACTGAGAACTAATAGTATGATAAGTTCTGGGTTGAGCACGAATCCCAGAACCTACATCATGAACATTTGTACAGCATGACGAAATGATCATAATAAAGATTCACAGTTTGCTTCTGTTGTATTTTAGTATTTGGAAAAAAATCCATGACCACATGAATGAATCTTCCAAGGAGCCATGTTAAACACCACATTAATGTTGTTGAACCGTAGCAATATAGGCTATAACAAAAATGAGTGAAAGTGATGACCGCATAGCAAAAACAGAGACCTCTGTATTTTGTACAGTTCCTATACAGCATGATGAAATGATCATGATACAGAATCACGGGTTGCCTTCGTTGTATTTTGGTATTGGGAATTGACACTGTACCTCCTTTCAATAAAAACTTGCAAATGAGCTCCGAAGTGTTCTTAAGTTTGGCCATGTATATGAATAATTTAAAGCCAAATGAAAAGCGGTGAGAGGAAAGTGTGATTGAGGATAACGGGCTGTGAAGATGGGCTCAGTTAAGAACCAGAGGAGAGAAGCGACAGAGGTGGATTT